GAGAGTTTATACTGTACTTACTATACCTCCATTGGTAAAACTATTCTCCTCCAACCGATCCAACTGGTGATGGTTATGCCAACTGTTGTAGATAGTTATTATGAAAAATACTTAATATAGGGTCACATGGTCAAAAATATGCATAATCATCACAATGGAACACAATTAAAGTAGCAGACATCTAACCTGGCAAGAGCCAGATTGATGATTGTGTAGAACTCTAACGCGTTCTCCGCGATATCAATCTGGGATTTCTCACGGAGAATCCTTTCGGGGAAAGGAGGGATAAGCAGCAGAATACTTGAAGCTGATTGGGCAAAGTGACGCTGTGTGCCCGCCTACCAAGGTTTGACTTACGTAGGTAAAAATGCACAAACATCTTTGCCGTCCAGAAATGCACAAAGCGCCTCTCGCTGTTCATCTTTCAAAAAAGAAATTGGAGATTCTGCTAAAACTGACTTGATAGCCTCAGCTACGCGTCCGTCCTCCTGCGTAGCCATGTTTGTTTTGCTTCGGCCCGGCACTTCTTGCTTTCGTCAAACCCGGATATCCCGCCCTAAACCCCCAGACTGGCGTGTGATTGGCTCGCACACCCAGTGGTTCGACTCGAAAAGTGTAAGGGGAGCGGTACAAGATGTATTCTCGAGTGTTTGTGAACTCACAAATACCGCGAGAATTCAGCTTGCAGGCAAGGTTAGCAGACATCGCCTTTAAATCTCAATCGGACATGATTTTACACCAAATTTGCGAGCAGACAAAAATCCTATGTTTCCTCAGCATTATTCTAGTGACTTTACCCCATTTTTAAATCACCTCAACCACAAAAATACTTACAATCCAAAGGAAAGACATGGGTACAAATAGATTAATATCTCTTATTCACTTCTTAAATCTCTATATTCCCTTTTGTTTCCCATTGAATGTCCGGTCTCTCCTGCTTCTTCTGTATCCGTGTAGTTTATTGTACCGTCATATGTTTTGTTCGTCTCTTTTTTTAGTATTGTCGAATAAAATATGACTTCAAAAACGCATAATTCTAGTGACTTCCTGGGTGTTTTTCATAACTCCCATGATCCTTCGCTCCTCTGAAGTGCCCTCGCCTGCTCATCCATCACGGTTGGAGATCTGCAGAGTGGACAAAGCCGCCGTAGCGTGGGGGAAAGAGCGGCCTGCGTGTGTATATTTGGGTTTTTACACGCTCCTTTTGCTGCTGCGGCGGCGGCGGTAAAGCATGTCAGTGGGGGCCGATATAGCCGTCCCGTCCCAGGGGCCTCCCAGGAGCGGTGATTGTGGCAGTGTGTCAGAGCGCGACCCGGGTAAGCTTTCAATTAAGGCGCTTTCGGGACACTTAAGTTACAGCGCGGAGGGGAATGTTCCAGTGAGGCCTGGTTCAAACTAACAATAGCTGTCAGAGAACTCAACACCTGCTGCTGCCTCAGTCTATGGCTCTATAGGCTCTACCAACAGCTCCATAACTATACTTTTATTTTAGTGTGTGAATGTGTGTGTGTCTGTGTGTGTGTAGGTGAATATGTATGTTTGTGTAGGTGAATATTTACAGTGGGGCAAAAAAGTATTTAGTCAGCCACCAATTGTGCAAGTTCTCCAACTTAAAATAATGACAGAGGTCTGTAATTTTCATCATAGGTTCACTTCAACTGTGAGAGACAGAATGTGAAAAAAAAATCCAGGAATTCACATTGTAGGATTTTTAAAGAATGTATTTGTAAATTATGGTGGAAAAATAAGTATTTGGTCAATAAAAAAAATTCAACTCAATACTTGGTAATATAACCTTTGTTGGCAATAACAGAGGTCAAGCAATTACTATAGGTCTTTACCAGGTTTGCACACACAGTAGCTGGTATTTTGGTCCATTCCTCCATGCAGATCTTCCCGAGAGCAGTGAACACAGATTTTTAATGGGGTTGAGGTCTGGAGACTGGCTAGGCCACTCCAGGACTTTCAAATGCTTCTTACGGAGCCACTCTCACGAGACATGGCCCCATTCATTCTTTCCTTAACACGGATCAGTCGTCCTGTCCCCTTAGCAGAAAAACAGCCCCAAAGCATAACGTTTCCACGCTTCACAGTAGGTATGGTGTTCTTGTGATGCAACTCAGTATCCAAACACGACGAGTTGAGTTTATACCAAACAGTTCTACTTTGGTTTCATCTGACCACATGACATTCTCCCAATCCTCTGCTGTATCATCCATGTGCTCTCTGGCAAACTTCAGACGGGCCTGGACATGCACTGGCTTCAGCAGGGGGACACGTCTGGCACTGCAGGATTTGATTCCCTGTCGTCGTAGTGTGTTACTGATGGTAACCTTTGTTACTTTGGTCCCAGCTCTCTGCAGGTCATTCACCAGGTCCCCCGTGTTGTTCTCGGATTTTTGATCACCGTTCTCATGATCATTTTGACCCCACGGGATGAGATCTTGCGTGGAGCCCCAGATCAAGGGAGATTATCAGTGGTCTTGTATGTCTTCCATTTTCTGATAATTGCTCCCACAGTTGATTTGTTCACACCAAGCTGCTTGCCTATTGTAGATTCACTCTTCCCAGTCTGGTGCAGGTCTACAATTCTTTTCCTGGTGTTCTTCGACAGCTCTTTGGTCTTGGCCATAGTGAAGTTTGGAGTCTGACTGTTTGAGGCTGTGGACAGGTGTCTTTTATACAGATAACAAGTTCAAACAGGTGCCATTAATACAGGTAACGAGTGGAGGACAGAAGAGCTTCTTAAAGAAGAAGTTACAGGTCTGTGAGAGCCAGAGATCTTCCTTGTTTGAAGTGACCAAATACTTATTTTCCACCATAATTTACAAATAAATTCTTTAAAAAATCCTTCAATGTGAATTCCTGGATTTTTTTTTTCACATTCTGTCTCTCACAGTTGAAGTGAACCTATGATGAAAATTACAGACCTCTGTCATTATTTTAAGTGGGAGAACTTGCACAATCGGTGGCTGACTAAATACTTTTTTGCCCTACTGTAATTGTGTTTGTGTGGAAAAGAATTTCGGCTTAATGTTATTATGTGTGTGTTTGGTGCGTGTGTGTTTTGTTAAACATAAAGTGGATCCATGGCATGTCTTTCTGTCGGTGCCCTCTGCTCCAGGAAGAATAGCAATGTTTGAACAGCTAATGGAGATCCAAATACATACACACAACACAAACACACTTTGATATTCAAGCCAGATCCAACTCCTACTACACCAGTCGACCAGAATTTGTGTTTTTTTGTGAGATCAGTTTTTGTCTGTTACTAATACAAGAAGGTTTTATGTAGCGTCAGACTATTGCCAACCAAAGTCTAGTACCCTGTTTTGTCTGTCTCTCCAGATTTAGATAAAAATAATACAGCAGTGAACACTCAGGCCAATTCTCCAACTCTTTTTGAAACAACACCCTTTGCTCTCGTACAGTAGGTCTCTGTGTTTTTACCTGCATCAAGGAAACCGATGACTCGAGGAACAACCCAGTGGTGGCAAAACATGGAGATTGCAAATAGTACACAATGCAAGAAAAAGTCTATCTAAGAATAAAATTATACGTGAGCCCCTAAACATGAGGATGAAACAGGATGAATGTGGGGGGTAACACATAATAGTAAGTTTTTACAGACTTGAAAGTTCCAGTTACTTGAATTACAAAAACTTAGTTGGCAGAACTAGAGACACTTAACTGACACAACTTAATGATTGCAGTTCTTCAAAACTTAAAGAATTAAGTTAATGCTTCAACTCAGAAGTCGCGTGCAGCCAGTTACCTTGAAATTTTGAGTTGAACTAACTTTTTTGTTTTTACAGTGTGGAAACCTGAATTTCTCCTACAGGGATCAATAAAGTATCTATCTATCTATCTATCCATCTATCTAGTGTGTCATCAGAACAGCCCATTTAAAGACTCAGCAGTTCTCATTGTACAGTCTGACAGCAGCAGTAAGAAAGTTTCAAGAGTTACACGGTATCAATGCCTCCATGACTCTATGACTGTGAGCAACACACTCTCAAAACACAAATACATTCTTAAAGACGTTTACAGCCTGCCGTACTAACTGTTGGACTTTTGCACAAGTATTCCAATGAGGTTTTACTGTAAACAGCCAATTAAATGAATCAGAATCTAACATGCTGTGTCTGTCTGAGTGGCAATATAATGAGACTTGTGGACTGGCCGTGCAATTCCAAAGACAGCAAATATCCCGTTGACATAGATACAAAATATATAGATCTAACACAGGCTTCATATTTGCGATGCCATTCTGGGAAATTGGAAAACCAAATGTCTCAAGTTCTAGTCTGTGTCCCGTTCCCAGCAGCTTTAGACAAGACAACAGTGAAATCTCCAAGTTGCCATTTCAGCAAAAAAAAATGCTTGAAATAGTATCAATCAGACTGTACAACGAACAATGCATCTGTGCAATAATTCAAACTAATGTCACAATGTGCAATATGGGAACAGATATATACAGTATTTTTTCAGTGTCTAACTTGCTTCCTGATTATTAAGTTAGAGATTGTATACTTGCTTCTTTATGAGGCTAAAGTTAGAGATTTTTAGGTTTTTTTAGTATAGAGTAATTGCTGATTTATCTTGTGCTGTGTGCTCCTCATTCCTACTGCTCTATAACGCAATTTATAATGCAACACTGACATTTCCCCACTGTGGGACGAATAGAGGATCTCTTCATAATCTTGTACATGAAACTACAAGACCGTGCAGATACAGAACTACTATCCATATACATACTATTATTCACCCATGCCATTCAATAGTAGTGTAATTTGGATTTCTCTCATCAATTGCATAGAATTTGTAAAGGTTTGCAGACCACATGAAACATTTTTTATAATTTCTAATGAATTCACGCTAATGACTATGCCTGTATGCCCACTACCCAAACACACAGCTCAGCACATGGAGGGGGGGATAACTTACCCAGCTTTCCTCGGGACTCCTCCAGCTTTTGGATTTGGTTTTCCAAGAAGAACATGGCCACTGCGAACGCCAGTAGCGCCAACAGCTGCAACTTAGGCGGCATCATGACTCGGAGCAACCCCATTAAAATCCTCCACGCTGGGTCAGAATGGGGGGTTTGGTCACTCCATGCCGCTGCCCAGACAGACGATCTCTGCTTTTACAAAGAAGTGTCATTCGCATGGCCCTCTTCTCCACAGCCAGCGCTCTCTCTCTCTCTGTCCACTCTCTCGTCTCTCTTCAGGTGCGTAAAATCCACCACGTTACCTTAAAATCCTCATGCTTGTGTGATTATTCCCTGGCCTGTTGGATGGTTTGGTCTGGTCTGGTCTGGTCTGTATTGGCCCGTATGTGTGCGTGTGCGTATCACAGGCGCTGGTCCTGGTCTGTCCCATCCACTGCGCTCTGTACGCACTGACTGCTGCTGTCCAAATGCAAGCGCGCAGGTCATTGGATGGAGAGGGAGTCCACCGCAGCGCAGAGCCTCGCCATTCGCCCCCAATCACAGCCACGGCAAACGCAATTGGAGGCGTGTATTTGTCTGTCTTTTTTTTTTTTTTTTTAGAGAAAGTGATCCTGGATTCGACCAGCAGAGGGCGCACTAACAGAGGGAAGTGAGAACAATGTAATAAGGTTTTGTTAGGTGCTCTGTGATAACTACTGTTGTGATTTTGGGCTGTACGAGAATGAATTGAATTGAATTGAAGATAAAAGATCCATTATTTGTCCCACTGTGGGGAAATTTCAATGTTGCAGCGTAGTAAAAGCACACAGGGAGCACACACAATACACAATATAGCTGCTATGTTTGCAAGATAAGATAGATTTTATTGATCTCACAAATGGCACTCACTCAGTACTCTGTGTCCTGAAACAGCCGACTATCATTGTGATTAGTGGTCTGGTCCAAAATTAACCCAAAGTAGTGTGACCCAGCTAACATTTTATATAAAAGAAAAACACAAGAAGAAAGCAATACGACCATCTGTCTTTTGGAAATATAAAAAATAGTAATATAGATGTTTACCCTATAATTTCCAGTCAAATCCTTCTGTGATGAATCAAAACCAGTTCCAACGACAAACTCACAACAATATTCACATTTACGTGTATTCCTCCTGGAGCTGTTTGTTTTACTGCAGGTCCCTAAATCTCATTTCCAGTGACAGGTGCCTCAGCTGTGAAAAGGGGATTGTAAAACCCCACAGTTTGTCATTACTTTTTATTAGAGCAAACCCACAGATGAATGTTCTTTCTTTATTCATTTCTTCTGTCTTTTGTCAACAACCGAGAAAACACATAATTCCACATTTCACTTTTGAATGCGCTGGAAAACGGCTGCAGGTCCCAAGTAGATCTGGAACAGTTGTTGTTTTGTGCTTAATGTATTTCTTTATTTGTTGATTTTTTCTATCTGAGATGTTGCTGCAGTACAGTGTTCATGGTTTTACACTGGTCCAGACCAGAGCGGAGAGGATTCATGGTCCAAACCAAGTGGATCAGGCAAAAATCCACTGGAGGAATGCTAACTTTTTTTTAAATGCTAATGAAGCATTTAGTATTTTACTTTGGACCAGAGCAGAGAAAATGCTCCGAACGAAGCGGCTACTCCACCTTGTGACCCGTCCTGCTCCACCCAGAGGCTGCTCCACCTCTGCTGCTGTGAACCGTCCTGCTCCACCCAGAGGCTACTCCACCTCTGCTCCTGTGACCCGTCCTGCTCCACCCAGAGGCTGCTCCACCTCTGCTGCTGTGAACCGTCCTGCTCCACCCAGAGGCTACTCCACCTCTGCTCCTGTGACCCGTCCTGCTCCACCCAGAGGCTACTCCACCTCTGCTCCTGTGACCCGTCCTGCTCCACCCAGAGGCTACTCCACCTCTGCTCCTGTGACCCGTCCTGCTCCACCCAGAGGCTACTCCACCTCTGCTGCTGTGACCCGTCCTGCTCCACCCAGAGGCTACTCCACCTCTGCTGCTGTGACCCGTCCTGCTCCACCCAGAGGCTACTCCACCTCTGCTGCTGTGACCTGTCCTGCTCCACCCAGAGGCTACTCCACCTCTGCTGCTGTGACCCGTCCTGCTCCACCCAGAGGCTACTCCACCTCTGCTGCTGTGACCTGAAGGGCTGTTGCTGATTGCTATTATTGTTAGCTCTTTTGAATGATCAATTTTATTTTTTATTTTTGCTGCTACTGGACACCTGAATTTCTCCGACGGGGATGTATAAAGTATCCATCTATCCATCTATACATGATCACATTGACATTTATCAAAGAACGAGTAAAAGCAGAGTTTGGAGTTTGATATTTCCATGGGCAGATTTAGTTCCTGATTTTAATTATGGAGTAAATGAGTCATCAGAGGCCAAAACTACAGAACCTGAGCTCAAGAGTCCAGACAGACAAACGAGGCTTTGGATGAGGTTTCATGTAGACTGTATTCTATGTGGGCGTGGAAGGTGCTGGGCTGAGAAAATGCTGCTGAAGACACATTTATAAATAATCTTCCGATTCAGAAAATGGTGATTTCTCCAGAGGGAAATTCATGTCAATAATAAATAGATTTTCTTGACCAACCAAAGCCACACAGTTACTATGGTCTCTGCCTCTTACTTACTCACCCCATCTCCAGCAGTCAAACCTTTAGGATCTTCTATATTAGCCTAGTTTTGGTAATTAGATACTACAACTGTACAAATGTAAACCCATATTACATCAGTCAATGATATTATATTATTATTATATTGAATATCCACATTGGGACTACTTTGTCTCTAACATTCATGTTTTGACCTTTTTGGCAAATTGAGCAAATGCCATAATATTCTTTATAAGGAGAGCAAGGAGCAATAATACCAACACTTTAAAGCCATATAGGAATAGTGCAGTTGGTTGTTTTTGTTCATGAGCTAAAGCCCATGTGGAGGTTTATGTTCAATGGTGAAGAATCAGGCATGCTCTTGTGATTTGTTGTCATCCTGTATCTGTATCCAAATGTATCCATCCGAAAGCAATAAGCCTAAAGGACTCTCTCTTATCTTATTTTGTCTGCAATTTTGTGTGTGAACAATCCTTTGCTTATATACACAGCTAAACATAACTGCATTTCTGAATTTTAGCAGCAAAAATCTGAAATGCTGCCTTCCAAGGTTTAGTCCTCACTCTGAGCACTAGCAGCGGCACGGTGGCACGGTGGCTGAGTGGATAGCACTCTCGCCTCTCAGCAAGAAGGTCCTGGGTTCGAATCCCGGTCGGACCAGGGCCTTTCTGAGTGGAGTTTGCATGTTCTCCCTGTGTCTGCGTAGGTTTCCTCCGGGTACTCCGGTTTCCCCTACCACTAAAAATATGTCCAATAGTTCTGGCATGCGCCTCCTGTACTGGCGACCCCGCTCCCATCTCTGTGTGGAGTGAGAGACTAATGCCCAAAATTAACAATTGTAAACCAGTTTGAGACTCAGATCTGCAGTGAAAAGGCGGTATATAAATAAAAACTTACTTACTTACTTACTAGCAGGAGGCCACTCCCTGTGCTCCTCAGATTCATATGGCACTAACCTGTCACTGAGCCATGTACTGTAACTCAGCAGTGGAAAAAGACCTAGTAACTTTTAAACCACTCAAATGAAACAAAAAAAACCCTGACACATCTGTAGATCAGAATTTTTCAGACAGAAATATGAAAAAGAGAGGACTACCCTCACTCAGCCAATCAGCTCGCAGCTCAAAAAGTGTCAAAAAGTAACCCACTAGTAATTATGCAAAAGATAACACACTTTCAAATGAAATTAAGAAAGCATGTTGGGAACTAAAACATAACTAAATTAATATTATTGATTTAAAAAAAAAATGTACTCAAGCTTTCAATGTATTCCGTTCAGGCAGTGACAAAGGCAGCTTCTGAGAGGTCCTGAGAGCATTCTTGCTAGCAGCGGTAGCAGCAGCAAAATGTCGGGAGAGGTGTATCTACTATGGCTCCTCTCACTCCTACAAACGGTGAGTTGTGGCATAATTGAAGTGTATACACAGCTTTACATGTGTGCAGTTGTAAATGAAGCGATAGTTTATTAAGAAATGTGAATAAAGAATGTTTATATGCGTGTCATAACCACATCCGTGTCTGCAGCACTGACGTGGCTCCTCTTCTGATTGTTTGCAAGAGTGAACTGAAACCTTTGCTTTTTTATGGGCTGAATGTCTTTATTTTAGCTAAATTTGACGTGCACATGTATTTCCAGGCCGTGCTTATCATTTAGATAAATTAATAAAGTAAAATCAATGTTTGTTTAGGCCAATCTAGCTCACCCCCTCTTCTCCCCAAAAGTACATTTTTATTTTTTGTATAAATGTATATGTATGATTTTCCTCACAACAACTAGTATTATTATGATGAAGCTTTTTTCATGACATTTGTTCATAAAAAAATAAGAATAAATAGTTTAGTAGTCAAAAACCAACTTTGAGCTCTCCTTGAAAACTAATTTCTCATTCAACGCATTCTAATGGGACACCTCCAGCTGAAAGTGATAGAAAAACAAAACACGGCAGCCTTTATTGACAAAGCAAGTCAATTCAAGCAGGTATAGTGTGTGTTTTATATAGAAAAATCAAACAAGGACAAATCTTCTCTTACTTTTCACAGTATTTTGACAAATTGGGTGATATTGGATCATTTACAAAGACACACTATGGTTGACACACCACACTTTCATAATGAATGATTATTGTCGGATAATCTGAATTCATTTATTGCCATTGTAAGGAACTGGAAGTCACAAGCTAGCTATTTGCTTTGGCTCATGGTGCAAACAAGTTATAAAAGTACAATTAATGGGCGTGCATACAAAAATACAAGTTCACAGTGTATGTCCAGAACTTCCTTGAAAAAAGGTTCGTAATCTCAATGGGACTTTGCTGTTTAAATGAATACAAATTAAAAACTCATTGTACATCTGACTTTTTAAAGCAGTAGCCAATTGTGCCCCTAAAATTCTCTCCTGGTCATTCTACTTCTCTTGATGCAAATATTTCAAAGGCCATATTTGATACTAATTTATATTCTTGCAAACAACAAATTTGACATTATGTTTATGATTTTAAAATGCTTGTTAGATAATAAACTGCAGTGTTTTGGCAAATGATTCACAGTATTGTTTTTTTTTTTTTTTTAACAGCTGAGGAAAGGTTCTTGGTTGTCCTTTTGTTTTTCTTCTACAGTTTATTATCAATACTTGAGAAAATTGTATCAAGTTTTGTTTAGGCTGTAACAAGTCAATCAATTAATCGCAACTAATTGATTTTTGCAGCACTAATAAGTCTTTCAAATCTTCTCATTTTTCAAAGACACTCCAAACATCTACAGGCACTCAAACAAACACTGGATTATTGAACTAATTCATTCATTAATCAAATCATAGTTTTTGGCCCACACTCAGAAGAGAATTTATTTTTAATCAAACAAACCAATGTGTAAATAGTCGTCTCTGTGAAGATGTTCTCTAGGGCAACTCTGAGCTTTGGTGAAATTCTAAATAATCTCATATTCACACAGCTTTCAGTATCAAAACAAATAATCTAGTTTGAGTGTTAGTATCTGTCTCTTGATGCATCTATACAGCATGGGACCCATCAGTGGCAATAGTGTCCTGTTTGAATAATTTAGAGATAAATGATTGAAGGTTCTTGCTTTGACATTTGAGTGCTGAGATTGCAGACACACACACAAAAGACATTCAGTTACATAATGATAGTAGACAGAAGATAGTAGTGGAATTTAAAAGTATTGGGTTCTTCTATTCCAGACAATATAAGGTTTTGCAATGTTATTACTTTGACATGTTTCGATGAACCAAATACTTTTAATTGTACATATTTATTTTATTACAATCTTGTCTTGTTGGCATGTACTTTCTCTGTGTAAACTTTGTATGTTTAATTATGTATTGTCCCTGGAAATAAATAAATAATTGTTAGTTGCAGCCCTAGATTCACTTTGATAGTTTTTTGAATTGCAGCTTCTCAAAAGGTTAGACTCACCTATTTATTCTTTTACATGTAACAAATGTTTGGCTCTGAAGTCACTTTAAAATGTTGGTTTTGTCGTATGTTGTGGCACAAGATCTTGCCCATCTGTTCTCAAACTCTGTGTCCTTTTGCCCTCTGCTCTGACATGCTCATGTTTGTGTCTGTGCTCTGGGTCAGCTGTCTGCGTATGGAGCCGATCTGTCCTCTGAAGCCTGCAGGGAGATGGGCTTCTCCAGTAACCTGCTGTGCAGCGGCTGTGATCTGCTGGGAGAGTTCAGCCTCAACACACTGCAGCCTGACTGTCGGAGCTGCTGCCAACAAGAGGCTCAGCAGGAGGGCCGCAAGGTGAGGCCCCAACACATCCACAGACTCTGACCGCTCTGACCGCATCCACAGACCCTGACCGCATCCACAGGCTCTGACCGCATCCACAGGCTCTGACCGCACCCACAGGCTCTGACCGCATCCACAGGCTCTGACCGCATCCACAGACTCTGACCGCATCCACAGGCTCTGACCGCATCCACAGGCTCTGACCGCACCCACAGACTCTGACCGCATCCACAGGCTCTGACCGCATCCACAGGCTCTGACCGCATCCACAGGCTCTGACCGCATCCACGCTCTGACCGCATCCACAGACTCTGACCGCACCCACAGGCTCTGACCGCATCCACAGGCTCTGACCGTATCCACAGACTCTGACCGCACCCACAGACTCTGACCGCATCCACAGGCTCTGACCGCATCCACAGGCTCTGACCGCATCCACAGGCTCTGACCGCACCCACAGGCTCTGACCGCATCCACAGACCGCATCCACAGGCTCTGACCGCATCCACAGACTCTGACCGCTCTGACCGCATCCACAGACTCTGACCGCACCCACAGGCTCTGACCGCACCCACAGGCTCTGACCGCATCCACAGGCTCTGACCGCACCCACAGACCGCATCCACAGGCTCTGACCGCATCCACAGGCTCTGACCGCACCCACAGACCGCATCCACAGGCTCTGACCGCATCCAGAGGGTCTGACTGCATCCACAGACTCTGACCGCATCCACAGACTCTGACCGCATCCACAGACTCTGACTGCATCCACAGACTCTGACTGCATCCACAGACTCTGACCGCATCCACAGACTCTGACTGCATCCACAGACTCTGACCGCATCCACAGACTCTGACCGCATCCACAGACTCTGACCGCATCCACAGACTCTGACTGCATCCACAGACTCTGACCGCATCCACAGACTCTGACCGCATCCACAGACTCTGACCGCATCCACAGACTCTGACCGCATCCACAGACTCTGACCGCATCCACAGACTCTGACTGCATCCACAGACTCTGACTGCATCCACAGACTCTGACTGCATCCACAGACTCTGACCGCATCCACAGACTCTGACCGCATCCACAGACTCTCGACCGCACCCACAGGCTCTGACCGCATCCACAGGCTCTGACTGCATCCACAGGCTCTGACCGCATCCACAGGCTCTGACTGCATCCACAGGCTCTGACCGCATCCACAGGCCCTGACTGCACCCACAGGCTCTGACCGCATCCACAGGCTCTGACCGCATCCACAGGCTCTGACCGCACCCACAGGCTCTGACCGCATCCACAGACCGCATCCACAAGCTCTGACCGCACCCACAGGCTCTGACTGCATCCACAGGCTCTGACCGCATCCACAGGCTCTGACCGCACCCACAGGCTCTGACCCCACCCACAGGCTCTGACTGCATCCACAGGCTCTGACCCCACCCACAGGCTCTGACCGCACCCACAGGCTCTGACTGCATCCACAGGCTCTGACCGCATCCACAGGCTCTGACCGCACCCACAGGCTCTGACCCCACCCACAGGCTCTGACCGCACCCACAGGCTCTGACCCCACCCACAGGCTCTGACCGCACCCACAGGCTCTGACTGCATCCACAGGCTCTGACCGCACCCACAGGCTCTGACCGCACCCACAGGCTCTGACCGCACCCACAGGCTCTGACCGCTCTGACCGCATCCACAGACTCTGACCGCGTCCAGTGACCATTGGATCGTCATTGTCTTCAACTGGACTTGTCTCTTTGACACTGAGAACGCCTGATAATCCACTGTCACTTGCCTCTGGGTGGAGCGTCCTGCTCCGGGTCAGAAGGTGGAGTAGCCGCTTGGTTCAGAGCATTTTCTCTGCTCTAGTCCAAAGTAATATGCTGAATGGTTCACTAGCATTTTTCAAAGAGTTTGCATTCCTCCAGTGGATTTTCACCTGATCCACTTGGTTCGGACCATGAATCCTCTCTGCTCTGGTCTGGACCAGTGGAAATGGGTGTATGTTTTTCTGGCTCAAACAATATCTAGATCAATACCAATCACATTGACACTTACCATGAAAGAGTCTTCCTATCTCCGTCATTTCGTTTTACTTTCGTTCGATGTATAATCTTTTTTGTTTTATTGTTTCTATGTTGGACTTAAATCCATCCCATCTCCTTCTAACCATTCCATTTGGATTTCACTCCGATTCCTGTCACTTCACGTTTCTATCTTACGAGGAAGAAAAGTCCCTGTGAGTGACAGCGTGGCCATGGAGACCGGACATGGTGGGCGGGGCTAAGCAGGCTGCTGCTGACTCTCTGACATAAACACAGTGAAGCTAGAGACTTATGTTCTTCAACAAAATAACTTGGACAAAAGAGAGGGAGAGGTGTTGGCGCTTAATAAGGGGCGTGGTCATTCACCGATCATATGAATTTTCCCGTAATCGACCGATTATTGTCAGAGGCCGATTGGTGCACCTCTATCTAATGTTGTTTACTAGAGCTGGGAATTGACAAAATGTGACGATTCAGTAGTATTGTGATATTTGGGCCACAATTCAAACAATAAAGCCTCAAGCGGCATTTAACGGCCCTCGCCGCACCGCGCAGAGGAGGTGGCGCTGCCGTGTCATCTTCCTTGTGGTCCTGATGGGAGCGACACTGTATTTTTAATGCCAATGATCAGTGATTGTTTGTGTCTTTGATTTTGACACATAATTGGGAGCGTTTGTCGTCGCCATGGCAACAAAGTAAAAAATAAGTCATGGGTGTAATTGAGTTTTTGAATCAGGATGGCAAAACAGAATTATGTGCAACCTTTCAAACATTTTGAGAAAACTATCTTTCTGCGCATGTAAAACTTGACTCAGTCTGTAGGGGGCGCTAATGCTGCAATTTCATGTTTTACCAATTCAGAGAGAGTTGAAAAATCAGTTTAAATTTTGTGAGGATCGTACTTTGGATTTGCAAACAGTGGCATTTACTTTGCACAATAGCGCCCCCTACGAATTTAAATTTTTAGTCTTCTGCCAAAGAACAACAAAATAATACATTTTATGCCTGAAAAAAACTTGAGGCAAAATTTGGTGAGTTTTCGTGTTTGTTCAGTGGGTCAAATATGAGATCAAACAACAGAAAACCTAAATACCTATATCCCCATGTAAACCTTTACTCAGCCTGTAGGGGGCGCTAATGGGCCAAGGTCATTGTTCACACTGTCATGTGACCTAGGCCAAGGAGTTGAACAACCGAGTCAAGTTTAGTGCAAATCAGAGTTTGTAAATGTGCTGCTGTTTGCACATACAATCTGTGAGTGTGTCCATACTGTCTCCATTGGATAACATGGGAACTTCACACCTCTCTATGAAAATAACCACACTTTGGGGGTCTCTCACGCTCAGACCGTTTGAGTAATTCAAATTCTATATTCAACTATTGATGGTCCATGTGTTAAGACGATGTGGCGCGATTTTCAGCCAAATTAGTGAAGCGGCTGGTTTGATGTTTGAGAGAGGTATACTTTTCAGAGATTTAACTATTTTCCCATCCACAGAATGGAGAGTGTTTGTTGTCGCCATGGCAACAGGGTAAAAAATAAGTATTGCTTGTCATTGACTTTTTGAATCCAGAGGACGAAACAGAATTATGTGCAATTTCAGTTTTTCCACTTGCAAATGACCAAGACCCTGGAGCTGAGCAATGGATTCAAATTTGGTGCAAATCGGACTTTGTTTGTGCCAACAGGAGCAAATTGGCTTTTGTCAAAAAAGGGGGGAAAAAAAGTCACATTTTGCTGCTCCGCTGCTCGGACAAGGTTTAACTGATCCAAATTTATTCAACTATTTATGGTACATGTGTTTAGACCATGTGGAGCGATTTTGAGACATATCGGTGAAACGGCCGAGGAGGAGTTGATTTCCAACCGACATGTGTGAAAAAGATAAATTTTAATTTTTCCATTTCCCATTGAAATTAATGAGCTCCCCGTTTGTCAGGGGGTGGACCATGGATCTATTATATTAACTGGATAGGGTATTACTAGCTTGTAGCTGAATAACTCATGTGCTCGGGGGATTCTCACGGTACTGCAGACTGAACCAGACTAAATTCATGTGGGCTACACAGAAATTTTCCCCATAAAACTCAATGCATATTAAAACAGCTCAACCTCAGCTGACAGAGAACCTGACAGAGAACCTACAGCTTTAATAAAGGTTGCATTTTGTGGGGATTTTAGTGTCCCTTTTTTTCTTCGTAAATCCTTCGGTTTTGTTTAAATCCACACTTTAGTGCCACAAACTCTGCTCGTCTGGCTCTCGCTCTAACTCCCGCTCTGATGAACTGCTCTGATTGGTCAGAGCGCAGCCGAGCCCCTCTGTGCACGTGCGTGAGACCCGGTGTGAGACCCACACACGCGTGTTTGGCGCAACGCATTATGGGAGATGGTCCACTGCACAGAACCGGGAGGACCAGACGATGCCCAAATACAGCCGAGTTTCCCATAGATCTTTGCGAGTTTCCCAAGATCTTTGAGAGTTTCCCATAGATATTACAGCCCCCATGCCGTCACAAAGCGCCACTGAGCACAACTATTCATTTGAATAGGGCGCCATCTTGGATCACCGGGGCTTGGGGCGGAGCCATAATAATGAATAATTTTTCATGTCTTGACTTGAGGAACATGTGTACCAAATGTTGTAGCTCTACGACAAACTTGACTTTGAACCTGCTCCCATAGGCGCAATGTAAACTGACTTTTGTAGGGGGCGCTGTTCTGGCATTTTCTTAGTCCCTAAAAAATAAAAACCAAAAATGTATTTTTCGCCGGTTCTGAATTTTTAGCAAAAATTCACAAGTTTTCATCAATGTTCAGGGGGTCAAATTAAGGCTCAAAGTGCAGACGAGAAAAGAAATGGTTTCCATAGTAACCTATAATACAAATGATACACCGTTTTAAAGCGAACGACCAGACGAACGCAACTATTGGGGTTTCAGTGATTGTGACAGATTGTGATCAGTGACAATCACCTCACCATCATGAGGTCACCCCCCCCCTCCATAGGACCCCATTCATTTCCCTGTGTACTACAGCAGGACGTGCCGTTGCGTGCAGGTCACAATCTCCAGGCTGCGCCCATTTATTATGGACTGCACATGAACTGAACGTTGTCCTTGAACATTCAGGACACAGGACAGACATCATTATTCTCAACTCCCAGCGCATAACTTAAATTATTCAAATTCAACAGATGGAGTCACAGAAAGCATACATAACAGAGTAACCTAAACCTCGGATGTAAATTACCAGAGAGAACTCGGAGAAAACGCAAAAGTGAAACAGATAATTATTTAGGAATCACCATACTTTGCTCTACTCACTGTATCAAAATATCGCGATACTGAACTAATTTAATTTTTCCTCCCACTTGAGAATGAAAGCCATTACACGAGCGAGTAAGTTCTGCATTCCGTCTTGCATCTGTACCATTTTGACAATACTATTCTTGCCGTCCATTTGTCCACCCACTTCCAATTATATTTAGTTGTATTTTTTTTCTATCTATCCAATTATGGCCGCCCTCCTCCTCCACTTGGTCCCTGAGCATTCCGGCTGCCACTGTAAGCCGTCGATTTTTACTGCGCATTGAAAACGCCCACTGCGCTTTTGGTGGATTAAAATGAGTCATGAAAGGATGACAAAAAAAACAATGTCATTTGTCCTTTTGTTAAAGCCCGGAGCGCGTTGGTATCTTAGCAACAGCACCCTGCACAGTCTCGCCTCATTACAGCCGGTGATGGTAATTGTAGACGGGGAAAAGCTCTGGGGACCGAGGTTTGCAGGTAGAATGTCAGGAGCCGGAGCCTGACGCTGGAAGGCAAAGTGTGGAGGCGCTGGGTTTGCACGGAGTTAAACTGATTTGAGATTGATTTTAAGATTATTTTAGCGCTGGTGCAGAGAAAGAAATGGAAACGATGCAAAAAGTGAAAATATAGACTTTTGTAGTTCACTCATTTCAGTATATTTCTATAATCTAGATATAGTGTCAAACTATATTTGGTCAGATAGATACTTTATTGATCCCCGTAGAAGAAAGGGGCGGAATACAAACATAGGAACTAATCAGGGGACAAAAGAAGGGATGAGGAGAGGGATGAGGAGAGGGATGAGGAGAGGGATGAGGGGAGGGATGAGGGGAGGGATGAGGGGAGGGATGAGGGGAGGGATGAGGGGAGGGATGAGGGGAGGGATGAGGGGAGGGATGAGGGGAGGGATGAGGAGAGGGATGAGGAGAGGGATGAGGAGAGGGATGAGGGGAGGGGAGGGATGAGGAGAGGGATGAGGGGAGGGATGAGGAGAGGGATGAGGAGAGGGATGAGGAGAGGGATGAGGAGAGGCATGAGGAGAGGCATGAGGAGAGGCATGAGGAGAGGGATGAGGAGAGGGATGAGGAGAGGGATGAGGAGAGGGGGGAGGGATGAGGGGAGGGATGAGGGGAGGGGTGAGGAGAGGGATGAGGAGAGGGGAGAGGGGAGGGGAGAGGAGAGGGATGAGATTTTCTTGTTTATTTTTTTGACACATTGTTTTATATATTACTTTTTATCGTCTAATGATGTGTTTGGTTGAAATGTAGAATTACATTGAAATTGGTTGATTTCCAGAGAAAATGGATGATGTATAACGTGCCATGGAAGCTCATTGCCATCAATGCTGCAAGTTAAGGATAATAATAGCCTGATTTGGCCCATAAGCCGGAGTTCAACATGCCTGATCTACTCGCACCGGTCTCGGCCAAATTTAATGAAATGTCCATGATCTTTTGTAGTAATTCTTTTCTACGTTTAGTTTAGTCTTATTATCTCAATTTTGGGGTTGTGTTATGACCATTATGACAAAATCTCTCACTCGGTTAAGTAAGCAACACATTGAGATCTTGTATTAGTATAAATCATTGATAACAAACTAACTCTGCTTCAGGATTAATCTCTATCTGTGCATCTCGGTCGGTTTTTGCTTGCCGCGTAAAATCTCAAATCTACTCCAAGGCTATGGACAGAATTCTGCTGACTGAAGCGAAAAGGCAACACAAAAGATTCCCCGCTCTTTGTCTGGCTGTCAAAACTGCTTCACGTCCCGTTTTGACATTTCATATTGTTTTTGTTTTCTTTCCAAAGGCCAGACGTGCTGCTGAGTCCACGTTTACAGTCGCACAGTTGTTTTTGAACCAATTCAGGCATGTTTTGAGTTATTTATATTTACACAAAGACTCCCTCTGGAAACACGTCCACCTTTTTTACTTTGTTTTTGGAATCTGTAATGTGATTCTGCGGCATTGCAGGGTCCTTCTTTGTTCAAATATTTTAGCTGAACTTGATCCGCTGTCTGGGTCCTGCGAGGCCTTTCAGCAGCAGGACTAAATATGAAAGTGGTTCATTTATAATTGTTTTTCAACTTAATTCCATTTAATTTAGAATAGCCCTAAATCACAATAGTAGTTATCTCAGAGGACTTTACAAAGCTGTTGATCCTCAGACCCTGTCCTCAGACCCTGTCCTTAGACCCTGTCCTCAGACCCTGTTCTCAGACCCTGTCCTCAGACCCTGTTCTCAGACCCTGTCCTCAGACCCTGTTCTCAGACCCTGTCCTCAGACCCTGTCCTCAGACCCTGTCCTCAGACCCTGTCCTCAGACCCTGTCCTCAGACCCTGTCCTCAGACCCTGTCCTCAGACCCTGTCCTCAGACAGCGTCCTCAGACCCTGTCCTTAGACCCTGTCCTTAGTCCATTGTCCTTAGGTTCCTCAGACCGTGTTCCTCAGACCGTTGTCCTCAGACCGTTGTCCTCAGACCGTTGTCCTCAGACCGTTGTCCTCAGACCGTTGTCCTCAGACCGTTGTCCTCAGACCGTTGTCCTCAGACCGTGCCGTCCTCAGACCCTGTCCTCAGACCCTGTCCTCAGACCCTGTCCTCAGACCCTGTCCTCAGACCCTGCAGAACAAAGCATGTTTAAAAAATATATGTATAACTAACAGCATTTGAAACTGCTTTAAGAATCTGACTGCAGAGGAACAGCTGTGATAATGATTCATGTTGTCTTCGTATTCTGTTCCATCTCAAAGACGTCTCCCCGACTTTATGCAAACCCAGAGAGCCGTGTGCTTCGATGGTGCTTTTGCTGTTTGGATTGTGGGTCGTCTGTGGGGGCAGGTTTCGCACATGGCTCTGTTGTGGCCGTAGTGCTAACTTATAACGTTCCCTTTCACACTTGTCTCCGCAGCTCTATCCTGGAGCCATCCTGGAGGTCTGTGGATGAAAATTGGGCAGGTTCCCACAAGTCCAAGGTGAGATTTCAATGTTGTTAAAAGATTATTTTAGCTAAAGAGGCATATTAGTTTAGTAGAACTTTGTATAACACTCAACGCAAAGGTGCAAACAAGTTATAGTCTTCATAACAAAAATATTAATATTACTACAGAACCTCCAGAAAAGTATTTATCCAGTCAAATAACTTTCTTGTTTATGTTTCAGTATTTTCTTTTACGTTTCTTCCTTTTACAGCTGACGTCAACCGTAGCGTAGCATATTTTCTGTCAAAGCGTGTCCATCTTTCTGACGTGGTGGTCTCTCGTGTGTCTGTCAAACCATCACTTAGCGTTAATGTCATGCCTCTGTGATGGAGACCTCAGTTTTACGACGCTCCCATTTGTCGCTGTGTTTTCTTCAGCTGTGTCCAGCAGCTGTCTCTCTCTCTCTCTCTCTCTCTCTGTCTGTGTCTCTCTCTGTGTCTCTCTGTCTGTGTCTCTCTCTGTGTCTCTCTGTCTGTGTCTCTCTGTCTGTGTCTCTCTGTCTCTGTTTCTCTCTGTCTCTAGTAAGTAAGTAAGTAATCTTTATTTATACACCGCCTTTCACAGACCAGAGCCACAAAGCGGTTTACAATTGTGATACATTTGTTTATTTTTGGGCACTTGTCCTCTCACTCCACACGGAGATGGGAGCGGGGTCGCCGAACAGGAGGCGCATGCCAGACCTTTTGTACATATTTTTAATGGTAGGGGAAACCGGAGCACCCGGAGGAAACCTACGCAGACACGGGGAGAACATGCAAACTCCATTCAGAAAGACCCTGGTCCGACCGGGATTTGAACCGTTTCTGTCTCTGTCTCTCTCTTTCTCTCTGTCTCTCTCCGTTTCTCTCTGTCTCTGTCTGTCTCCGTTTCTCTCTGTGTCTCTCTCTGTGTCTCTCTCTGTGTCTTTCTCTGTGTCTTTCTCTGTGTCTCTCTCTGTGTCTTTCTCTGTGTCTTTCTCTGTGTCTCTCTCTGTGTCTCTCTCCCCGTTTCTCTCTGTCTCTCTCTGTCTCTCTGTCTCTATGTCTCTCTCTGTTTCTCTCTGTCTTTCTCTCTCTCTCTCTCTCTCTCTCTGTCTCTCTGTCTCTGCCTCTCTCTCTCTCTCTCTCTGTGTCTCTCTCTGTGTCTCTCTCTCTCTGTCTGCCTCTCTCTCTCTCTCCCTCTGCCCCTCTCTCTCTGTCTCTCTGCCTCTCTCTGCCTCTCTCTATGTCTCTCTTTCTCTGCCTCTCTCTCTGCCTCTCTCTGTCTCTCTCTCTCTCTCTGCCTCTCTCTATGTCTCTCTTTCTCTGTCTCTCTCTCTCTCTCTCTCTCTCTCTCTCTGTCTCTCTCTCAATCTGGGGGTTGTGTCGTTGGTAACTCTACTTTTTGCTTTTTCCCCTCAGCATTTGTGAGGAGCGACAAGCCCAAGATGTTCAAAGGCCTGCAGATCAAGGTGAGAGGGTCAAGGGTCTGCAAAGGCTTCCACATGCACGTATTTCTGGCCTTTTGTTTGTTTTTAGACCACCCTCATTCAGCCCATTCAGCCAATCAGCTCTCAGCCCAAAGCATCAAATAGTGACTCACAGGGCTTTCTCATATATGCATAAGATCACATGTTTCCTCAGGATGACGATATTTAATTTTTACTAACCACCAAACTACTTCTTTCTACTTCTATACTTTCTGTTGGGAGAAACAAAATGTATTTATGAAACGATAAAGGTGAAGTACCCCAGCTTTAACCCTTGTGCTACCCTTGGGACAAAATGGCTGCCGCAGTGGTTAAAAGTACTCTCTTTTAGACGCCTTTCTCAGACCAGAGTCACATTTGTCATTTGGGCATTTGTCTCTCAGACCTATTGTACATGTTTTTAGTGGTAGGGGAAACCGCAGCACCCGGAGGAAACCTAGGTAGACGCTGGGAGACCACGCAAACTCCACTCAGAAAGGCCCTGTTCCGACTGAGATTTGAACCCAGGACTTTCTTGTTGAGAAGTGAGAGAGCTATCCACTCAGCCAATGTGTCTCAGCCAAACCAGGTCTAAAAGAGTCTAAATGACCTCGAGTGAGTTGGAAAAGTTAGAAAAAAAATCATCAAAATCAAGGAGAGCACAAGTTTTAAGTCCTTTACCTCCTCCACACAAATCCAATGAACCAATTACTAGTTCAGCTGACGTCCATTAAACCATTACATAATACTGATTATGATCCTTCCATGTTGTCTTTCATTTTAAATTATTCATTGGACAATACAATAAGAAAGTAAAATTCAAAAAAAAATATTATCATTTGATAAGGAGTAGGTAGTACTTATAAAAAACTCAATTTCATTTCATTTTCTCTGTTGTTTTATAACATTAGTCACTTAAAGAACACCAAATCTTATTTAAACCCCAATCTTAGGAGAATTTTCTACTTCCGGGTGGATCATCGAGACTATTGATCCTCCCAAATATCAATCATTCTGGTGATTCGTGCTCGACAAATACGACCAAGAGTGGAGAGGGCGGTTCTTTCCTAAAATGTGGTGAAATCCTCCAATATACTTTAAACGCAACAAGACGACAAACGAAGATGGCGTCATGTCATTGACAAAAATTACAATACTATTTCTGTCATCGTTTGAGGATCAGGATTTGATAGAACATTTTATTTTTTAACTTAAATAGCCACCACACATTTGACATGTTTTCAGTTCATGGTCCAAAGAGTTTTAGTTTTACACCAGAGAATGAGATTGACATTTGTTTGAGTGTCGTTCTTGCAAAAGGTTTTTAACTTTATCACAGTAATTGGGTGGCACGGTGGCACTCTCGCCTCTCAGCAAGAAGGTCCTGGGTTCGAATCCCGGTCGGAACAGGGCCTTTCTGAGTGGAGTTTGCACGTCTGCGTAGGTTTCCTCCGGGTGCTCCGGTTTCCCCCAACACTAAAAACATGCACAATAGGTCTGAATGTAGATGAGAGAGTGAATGGATGGTGTTGGAGCTGATGGTCCAGTGTGTTCTGGGCTCGCTTCTGTCATCACCGTGTGTGGAAGGATTGGAACAATATCTGACTCTGAACTCTGTAAAGAGCTTTGGGTCTGTACCTTGGTCTGTAAAATGCGCTAGACAAATAACATTACTTACTTACTATTTCACTTCTTCTCACTCCCTTTCAAGCAAAGAGCATTACTTTATTGTTAAGGAAAAAATAATGTAATCTGTGTTAATATATATTGTTTACTAAAACGTTTATGAATTTCAAGTTTTGTTATTGTCATGCTTAAAATAAAGTCATTCATTCAATATTTGCTGGTATAACTTATATATTCATATTAAGGTCTGAAATGATTATAATCAAACCTCTGTACTGCCATGATCCCATAGACTGTAAAAAACACGCTATATTTTCCGTAATAATCTTAATCTTGTAGTAATCCCAAATCTGTCAAACACCTACAGTCTTTTTGACCCTGTTCTAACACCGTTCCTTTGCGTCTGTAGCAGTTTTTAGTTTCCTCCGTGAGAGTCCGGCCTCTTCCTCTGCTGCAGCCATCTGCTCCAAACACAGATCCTTTGTGCCTATTTTTTTTTTTTTCTAAACAAACACGTTTTTTAAGTCATTCTGAGATAATGAGATGCATGTAATGTATAGGAATTGTTCATTTTAAACCCGACAGAAGGACTGGGGGCAGGGAGCTGAATAAACGTCTGCTTCGTCCAACCCCTTTTTCAAACTCTGTGTTAAGGATTATAATTTTTGTGTCCAGTTTATGGGATTTTGTCTTTGAAATTAAGTTCAAGTTTAAGAAAAAAAATTGCCGCAAGGTCTGATTACCACTGCTCAGCGATCGGAGGCAAGACTTGTTCAACCCAGGCGTTGGGGGGAATTTCAGTGTTACCGGAACTACGTGTGCGTGTATATGAAAATGACGGCAGTTAGCGTTAGAATTTGCACAGACCGTGGTATAAAATACAATAAAATAACATGTCTAACCTAATAATAATAATAACAATAATAATAATAATCGGTTTTATATAGCGCTTTTTGAAGAAGCAAATCTAAAATCTCTAAGTGACGTGACGGTAACAGATGTGGTTCTATATTGCACATTCTGACACAAATGCAGAACATGTGATGGTCGGGTGTTTGTTAGTTCTCCTTGTTCGTTGTACAGTCTGACAGCAGAATGAAAGAAAGACTGTGGAACCTCTCTTCAAAGTGAGACAGGATGGATTTCCCCAAATGAGTCTCTAAAACTCCTGTCTATCTCGTCTTGTCACGCACTTTGCCTTGTGTATGAACCGTGCAACACAAATAATCTCGCCTTTGCCCTTCGCAGTACGTCCGCGGCGCCGATCCTATCCTCAAGCTCTTGGACGACAGTGGGAACATCGCCGAGGAGCTCAGCATCACCAAGTGGAACACCGACAGCGTGGAGGAGTTCCTGAGCGAGAAACTAGACCGAATATAGACCACGGACTTTCCCCTTTAACTTTACACAATCGCACATTTACAACAAAAACTCACCACTTTGACTTCATTCCAACTGAATTTATAGACAAAATATTTCATACTCGCTCCTGTCCGGATAAGATTTAACAAATTATTTTAGACCTAACCAAATTCTGACTCTTTTGTACCACCGCTAAGCATTCGGCGTGAAGATATATTATTGTTTTTGTCCTTTTTTTCTGAAGTGTCCCTCGTCCTTTTACCTGTGATAACCTTGTATAATTATTTTTTATATCGCTCGGCATTGTGGGGTTTGTAGTCTATAGACGGATGGATGGGGTTTCTCCGTGTGTTCAGTCTTGCGGGAGTCTGCCGTAGTGACGAGGTCGCAGTAAACCAGTTTTTTGGCGTGTGACGTCTGATGTTGGAGGCTTTTTCCAAGACCTAAATCTACGGAGAAACTTTATTCACTCGTTTTGAAAAGGGAGGATTTATGCAGCAATTAAAAACGAGCCGAATGTAATGTGTTTGTGTTGTTTTTTTCCCCCGTTCAGAGACTAGAGGAGAGGGGGCGTTAAGCCTGGGTTGTAGTGACACCTAGTGGGGAACAGTAGCGGTGCAACTTGTTGGCTGGAAAATCCGACTTTAAAAGCACAACAAAGGGAATTCTGAGGTTGCTGTGAGTTTCAGAAGAATTACCCAGATGCGTTTCTTGTTGGATTAGGAAAGTCTATAAGCTTTTAAAATGCTTTTCTTCTTAAATTGTGTTTTGTAGCATTTAGATAAACCCAACACGCTTCTTTACAAACACGTTCAGGACAAAGGGTTTGACAACACAAACAAAACAATTAAAATAATGACACTCAATATTTTGGTTCTATCACTACTGTTCACATATACTGTATCTATACCCTTCTGTTTAGGGTTGCCAAATACTGGGGAGGAATTTATTGGATTAAATTTGATTATTTTTTTACATTTGAAGGTTGACTCTTCACAAGAAACTTAAATATAGTTGGGGTAAGTTTATTGTTGCATAATCTTGACTGAAACAAACAGATGCCATTCAAATACACTTGAGTATCTTCCATGTCATTCCTCACACATGGCACAGTGCTGAAGTATGGCTGTTGAGACCGCGCCCCCTACTGGCCCTGCGCCTCCATCACATGTACTGAAGATTTCTAGAAGACGGGACCACACTTTCAAAAATCAAGCTTTGATATTAAGGGAATCTGGTTCTTTTTACAAATAAGTCTGTTGAAAATCCAGTTGTAGGATGTTTTTTTATGACTTCTGTTTATTTTCACGCTTTGATGTGATACAATTTCACTACAATTTATTCCAAGTTATTGACTTTTCAATGATTTCCCTTAAAATTCTCATGTAAATTTACCGTGAACTTTCTGGAACTATACTGGAAATGATCCGCTCCTTCAGACCCGAAATGTGAAAAGGAGAGGACCACCCTTAACTCAGCTCTCAGCTCATAGGCATGCATAGGAGATCATGTTTTTTATTGAGAGAAAATATGTTTTTGGTCTGATTCGTTCACAAAACCTGCAAAACCTCTATTGGGGCAAAGAAAATGTGTTTTTCATCCACAGAGAAAATGTGCCACTGCAACTTTAACAGAACCACGGTCAAAACATGTCTTCTACAAGTTTTTAATAATTTATTTCTCAACTGCAAGATTACAGACGACAGACAATACGCACTTATGTTACAACAACTTGTGAATCCAAACACAGAATTTACATTGAAAATACCTTATGGTCATTTAAAAATACGTGTTATGGAATACAGAGAGGCTCAAACTGTTTTTTTAAGCTGTAAAATGACCCTTATTTTTTTGTTTCCTTTGATTCTGTCTGAGCTGTTCTGTTTGGAGGCTGAAAAAAATATATGTGATAATATATGTTGATAATCGACTCTACATAAATGCAGTTAAAGTTTGATTTCCAAAGGGTAAAACCGTGAGAAAGTGCAACTTAGATCTATTAATTAACAGTTTTAAAAGTTTTTTTTTACTGGATGCAAACGTTCAGGTCAAACTCTACAAATTACAATATCGTTCATTTATGTCTGTCACTCAACTGACAATGTGGAACCAGTGATTTATTACACAAGTTGACAGCCAAAAAATGGTCAGGGGTTTCTCAACTGGTTTAGACTAATTTTAGTGTTCTGAGTCCGAATATCACATGCATTTTGCTCTATCAGGTCAACTTTTTGAGATACAGCCATAGTGTTACGGATTATGTACGTCTACGTTATTATGAATTCTGTTTATCAAATTTGATGGAGTAAATAAAAACTGAATGACTTTGGATACGTTGACTTTTATTTCTTGAGGAAAACGGAAAAACGTCAAGGGTTTCTCAGCTGATGATCCGCAGAAATTTGTTTTTTACGCAAAATCGATTTTAAAAAAAATATTTTTGTCGCAAAAAATCCTGACCTGATTGAGCAAAACCAAGGTCATTTTCGGACTCAGAGCATCAACATTAGTCTAATTCAGCTGGAAAACCCTGGACTATTATCAAAAAATATGTTTTTGTTACCCAGTGTTATTGCTTTTATATTATTATTAAACTTGATTACAGACTGATCCAGATAAAAAATACGGACATCACAAAAAACAAATAAATAAAAAAAGTCTAATTTTCGGAGACATTTGTGGTTTTTAAGAAGCTGTGAGTTCATTATCAACAATAACAAATATATATTTCTTACTGTGTGGTTGCAAATTAGTGTCACTTTGTAAGATGAATTACCGTAAATCGACTTTTGATTGTAATTTGTACGTTGTAGCATACGACAAAAAAATCTGAAAAATATCAACATTTTCTTTTCAAGCAAGAACTTTTGTAAATGATATTTTTTAATAATTGTTGCATGGAACTAGACAATAATCTACAGTGTCCTGAGGTAAAGGTGTCGTATTTTTAGCTTGACTCAAGTATTTAGCAGAGTTATTGACAGAATAGGCTGGTTTTAGCTTCACCTGAGCAGATGTCCCTGCGCTAAAACAATGGGATGAGCAAAAATGTCCTGTTTTTCCAGAGACAAAGTCTCATTTCTCATTTGGACGGTCGGTCTTCTCCAGGAGGCAAAGCTCTGGAACTCTCTAAGTCCTTAAACTGAGCTCGGACTGTGCTGGTTTTAAACACGAACTGAAACAATATTCTAAAACAAACCAGTTGTGTTGTCGTCGCTGAGTGAAAGCACAGCTGCTTTTGTATAATGAGAATAACAATGGAAAATGTGTTTTTAATGCTGGTTCTAGGGAGAGACTTTGCAAATTAGCCTTAAATGTTGAAGGTTTGATGATTGTGTGCACTTGTCCCTATCAAATAAATCAATACATTAAAAAAGGGAAAACTCTGCTCCTTTGCTTGAAATTGAATAGAAATAGTTATGTACAACAATTAAAGTATTATTTAGCAACAATAACAAATATAGTTTTGACCTATGAGTAAAGCTGTCTGTTCTGTAATGTTTCAGTGAATCAAAATAAATGTATATTATGCGTTTTACTTTAGTGCAGTTTGTTCATGATTATTTTTGTAAGACTGCTCATAAAGATTCTAGAACATCCAGTTTTCCCCTTTTGAGTCTCTGCTTCATTATGAACAGATGCTTGGTCCAGCCTCACACAGCGGGAGGTCCATATCCCTCCAGTCCTTTAGCGCCCCCTCCTGGACCCGGCAGCAGGATGTAGGCCACCTGAGGCTGCAGAGAGGCCCAGGGAGACGCGCATCCACACGGCACCATGTATCCAGCGCCGTGGGCCCCGGGACATGCGCTGAGGGGGCTGCTAAGGGCCTGAGGCGGGGCGTGGTGCGAGTGGAGCCCGAAGGCGCTGAAGGGAACCGGGTTGTGGCTGAAGTGACCCATGAGCAGCTGCGGAGGAGAGAACACGTGACAGAAGAGATCAGGGGCACAGGGACGTGCTGGAGCTGCAGGTCTGGAGCGGCATTCAGACTCTCTCAGGTCAGTTCTAGCAATCAATCAACCATCACAATTTATTTGTTTAGCACAAGGACATTTAAGTTTTGCTGTTAAAGGAGAATTTAAAAATATGTTTTACATATTGGGTTACAACCCCTCTCCCGCGTATATTTATCAAAGATGGATTTTGAGACTCATTTTTCGCAGTACAGATTGTTCCCACTCATAATAAGAGTGAATAAGCCATTAAAGGCTGAATGGCCTCAGCTTCTCAAAGAGTTCAGTGACTTGTTTGTGCCCAATGATCCTAAAACAGATTTTATTGTGTAAAAATATTTTCCTATTTGTTTTGAAAAAAACAGCCAGTGTCAAGAAAGTGACTGGTGTTTTCAGAAGAATGATGACAGTATCAGTATCATGTTAATAAAGAGACGGCCGCTAAAAGACCATGAGATTCCAAACTTTGTGCCAAACGTGCGTCAGGATGAAGTCGTTACCTACATTCTGCTCCAGCAGAGCCGCCGCGGGCCGCGGAGGCAGCAGACTCTTCTTTTCTCCTGCTGCGGTGAGAAACGCGTCCTGCGCGTCGTCCAGCAGCGCAGGGAACAGGTACCTGTCCCTCCGCAGGCTCTTGGCTTTGCGCCGCGGTCTGTACTTGTAGTCCGGGTGTTCCTTCATGTGCTGCGCGCGCAGCCGCTTCGCTTCATCGATGAACGGCCGCTTCTCTGCGTCGCTCAGCTGCTTCCAGTGCGCTCCGAGCCGCTTACTGATCTCGGAGTTGTGCATCTTGGGGTTCTCCAGCGCCATCTTCCTCCTCTGCCCCCGGGACCAGACCATGAAGGCGTTCATGGGTCTCTTGATGTGGTCCAGAGGTTTGGCCATCGTGATTATCACTCCCCGCTACCGCACAATGTCAACTCTCCATGGCTCCGTGCGTAAAAGCGCAATTACGCACCAACTTTACGCGCAGAGTTGTTTCTGCCTTGCCGGTCTCTCTCTTGTTGGTCTCTTTTTTGTTGGTCTTCCTCTTGTGGGTCTTCCTCTTGTGGGTCTCTCTCTCAGACATAAGTTATTGTCTCCATCCACAGCGGTCAAAGGTGCTGAATGCAGTCACGCTGAGCGCGAAGAGCCTTTTGGATGAATCAGTGGCGCCGTCAGAGCCAATGGCGAAGAGAGGACTCTATAATCCCCTCCAGAAAAGTCACTTGAAGACGATAAGACTGTTCCAAATGTGTGCTTTGTGCGTGGACAGCAGCACCACACCCCAGCACCCCCCAAACATACACAGACACACACAGACATATACACAACTTGGATTGGCTGTTGGAGAATCCATTCGTCACATCATTTACTTTTCTCAAACTTTTGTCCAATGAATGAGACTTTAGGATATAGATTTTCTCTTGGAAATACCTCAATTGCAATGTTAAAAATGTGAATAAATCCAGTCCAATTCAATTTACTTTTGTATTGTAACCATGTGAAGACTGTAGACGAGATTTCTGGCTCCAAATGTGGTAACTTTATTAACAACCATCACGGACAACATTGCAGTATAACTAGCTAACTACAGGATATCCCTAAATCACAACAGAAGTATTATTTACAAAACTGTGGATTTGCTAACACAGATCAGAGAATCAAACAGTTCAAACACAAGAAATACAATGTTAAAAACACATAGAGCCATTGGTCCATAAGGGGCAGAGACCAATGTCCATAAATGTATTGCAAATGTATGTATTCTTGCTCTTGTTGTCATCTTTTTGTCTTGTCTGTGTTTCATCCTCCTCCCGGTGTGATGGTATGGATGTCCTGTGTGTGCGCTGTGTAGATAAGAGCCACGCATGGGACCAGCCAGTGACCAGTCCGTCCTATAAGCCCAAAGCGATGCCCAGCTCTGAACCGGGTCTTATCACCTCCGCCTGCGCCGCTGGGTCCTTTGTGCGCGTTGATCCGGTCTTTGAGGAGTCCTGTGGAGAGGGCGATTGTGGGAGGTAAATGGAATAAAGCCCTCCTCTATGGCACGGTGCTGATGTGTGCTGCTTCCACCTCTGACCACCTCTGGCCACCTCTGCACCGGGAAAAATCCACTTATGGAACTATAAGGTTGTTGCTTTTTTTGAGACAAGTATGTTTTATGCAAGAGTTGTTGTATGAGTTGATGGATTCAGATAGTGTGATATGTGTGTTTGTGAGAGCTGTGGCCACTGGAAAAGTGAACGCACAATGGGGCCTGGGGTAGATTGTCAGAAGGTGGGGATGCTAAATCTGTTCAATTCAGTAGTTATCTAAGAGGACTTCACAAAACTGTTGATTCGCCAACACAGATCAGAGAATCAAAAAGTTCAAACACACAGAGCCATCGGTTCATGAGGAGCAGAGACCAATGTCCATAAATGTTGTTGAAGGTTGAGTGTCCTGCATCATCACCACTGTCCTTCGACTCTCCAATCTGGGCCACAGAGAGACAGACACAGACAGACAGAGATACAGATGGACGGACGGACAGAGAGACAGACAGACAGACGCAAGCACCATTGCACACAGAAGGCAAGATAAATTAGTGCATTTCGGAAGTAAGTGACCTTTATGATCTTGCACCTGTTGAAGGTGTTGATTTATTTCACAGTGACAATTGTATCTTGTACTTTTTGGCTTGTTATAATTTCATACATTTGTCTGGTGCACACTGGGGGACTTCAGCATGTTTTCCAATGTGCTTTTTAGTGCAAATGCCAAATAAAACTTATCTGAATCTGAGTCTGAATCTGTCACCATGTCATCTTGTCTGGTCTGAGTGGTCTGAGTGGACTCTGGCTCAGCAGTCCTGGACTCCATCTGCAAAAGAATCTGCCTCAGTCCTGGACTCCATCTGCAAAAGAATCTGCCTCAGTCCTGGACTCCATTTGCAAAAGAATCTGCCTCAGTCCTGGACTCCATCTGCAAAAGGATCTGCCTCAGTCCAATACAAAATGAAAGTTCCCCCATGTATTATACACCCTGTCATCTCATCTCTAAAAAATCTTCTGCTTATGACACTTTAATGTGTCTCTTGTTCTTTACTTTTGGCTTCTTCTTGTGTTTGAGTGAAAGGGCAGCGTCAGAACTCCTGCAGAAGACAGAGCCGGCGGTCCAAGATGGCGTCTGTAATCCGGTTATCCGCAGGCTCAGAGATACGGACCTGTCTCCTGGACGTGGGCTCTCCTTCTTCTGTTGAAAGTGTCCTCTGTGCACTCAGGTGGATTATAGACTCCTGCAAACACAAAACACACAACACTACACAAGCACAATGAGACACAACCCCACGGACAGGAAAGGAAGTTAGAGCTAATGAGTTATTTCATATCGTACGTTTATTTTTGCTAACTATTTAAATGCTGAATTTATTGTATAGTGATCGAGCCGAAATGGGAGGTTTTGATGATCCAGAACACACATTTATGAACATTGGTCTCTGCTCCTTATGGACCAATGGCTCTATGTGGTAATGGTATAGGTGCACTTTATTGATCCCCGCAGGGCAATTCATTCTCTGCATTGACCCATCCTGATGCCGTTCAGGGGCAGTGGTCACCGTAGTAACAGCGCCCGGGAACCCATCTCCAGATGTTGATGCTCGGCTTGGTCAGGACCGGAGCTGGAGGATTTAACCTAGTGTGCATGTTTTAGTGGTAGGGGAAACCGGAGTACCTGAAGCATGGGGAGAACATGCAAACTCCACTCAGAAAGACCCTGTTCCAACCAGGATACAAACCCAGAACCTTCTTGCTGAGAGGCGAGACACTCAGCCACCGTGCCGCCCTGTATGTGTTTTTCATAATTTGATTTCTTGTGTTTGATTCTCTGATCTGTGTTGGCGATTTCACCGGTTTTGTAAAGTCCTTCGAGATAACTACTGTTGTGATTAAGGGCGATACAAAAATACATTGAATTGAAGTGATTTGGTTCAGATGTACTGCTGCGAATATCCACCTCAGGAGTTGGATCTAGCCTGGGTAACAAGGCCTACAGTTTATGGCTTCACTACTGCACTTTCTTGGTTCTTTGGTGTTTTATGGTGAGGTTCTGTGGTGGGGGTGTACCCGGAAACAGAATTATCCACTGAATTTTTTACGACAAATTCTTTCCTCTCAAAAACTGCTTTACAGGATGGTCCAATGCTACTTTCCAGATGGTGTGAATGCTGAAGGGAGTTTTTTTTTTTGGGATCAGTCTAGTTTAGCTGCTGTGGACTCCTGTGGGAGGGGCTGCCTGTGGCCATTTTGAAAAAATACAGTAGGAGGGAAAAGTGACGACACATAAGTTTCAACGGCGGAGAGAGGCGTCACTACGTCCATTAATATTTACAGTCTATAGTTTGGACATTGAAGTCATTAACAAACCTGTCAATCACAAGCTAAAGCCCAGGCTGCAAAAGTGACAACATTTGCTTTTGTTTTGTCGAGCAGAATTTACAGATGTCATATTCTTTGGCCTTTCAACTGGTGCATAGGCTAGAACCTCTGACATGTTTTTCTCATTTTCAAACCTTACACCTAGACAACACTACACCAAAACATATACTTCCATAGTTCTGTCTTCCAGTGTACACATGCATTTAAAGTTCTTCCGCTTCTCCTTCGTCTGCACTTCTTCTTGTCCTCTCAGCTCTGTTTAAACACATCTTTCCTAAATGCTTCTTAAAAAACTCCTTGCGCCCTCAGCCTGGTCCTGACATCTCAGAGTGGCCCTTCAGCAGACAGTTTGGGCCCAAATCCTTCCCTACTGCTGCTGCTGCTGCTGCTGCTGCTGCTGCTGCTGCTGTGGTGGGGATTTCACTAAATCGTGTGCTTATTCTCGTGATACTTAGCCAAAAGTAAAGCCCTTTTAATAGCTTTTCCTTGACACGTCGATAGTGGAATATGCTTTGCTAGATATCTGTCTGAGAGGAGGGGGATAAACGTGCGAGGGGGGAGGGGGGGGGGGCACATTACAGCTTATATGAGGCAGTCAGCAGCAACATATACAGTAGTAACATTGGAGTTTGACAGGGCCACCGCGGCACAAGATTTAATATGTCATCTACGAGAAATTAAGAGCCACTTGGGAAAATGAAAGGTGCCAGCGAAGCACATGGAAACTTACTTAACCGCGGGTAAAGAGGTGTTATGGGGTGATGGTGGCGCACTCAAGCAACTCAAGCACGGTCTGGTTTATTTGGATGAGTTCCTAGAAAATGGTGGCAAAATTGTGACTTCAAATTTCATGACATTTTAGCCCTTTAATGTTCACTCCTTGAAAAAAGAAATGTATTTTTTCTTCTTGTTTTGGATTTTCTAATATGCAAGAGCACTAATAACACAAGCACTATTTTTTTTAACCCCCAGAAGTAGATTGGTTGGGCCATAACGTGTGCTATAATTGAGCGGACAGAGAGGCTTATAGGAAAGAGTGAACGCAGAGTTAGGGGTTTAAACAGGGGGGTAGATGCTGTAGACAGCTGCATGAGGGTAAGGCTTTTACACGGTCAGTTTATGTCACAAAGGCCAGTTTTACTTTTATGATTACATTTGGAAACACACAAGAGTTTAGTGTATTCAAAATGTATTTTATTCCATCCTTGAATAACCCGACCTTACCAGGGGGTACTTGAATGTATGTCTGGATTTATAAGAGCCACTCATTGAATAACATTTGAATAAAAACATCTTATGACATCTTAAGAAAGCTGTATAAAGCTGTCGATTTATTTTCATTTGCCATGCAGCTAGTACAAAAATAAAAACATCTAATTTCATGAAACACACCTCCTTATATATTCTTCTCCTTTTGTATTGACCTTTGTGGCATTAAATGTACCTAAACGCCATTAAGTAATTCTTCAAAAGATGTCACAATTCACTTGACCAAACCTGGATCAAGCCATGTTTTTTTTACAGCGCTTATATGGGCACTCAGAGACGCTTCACTTGGTATTATTCATTCACTCCATACTCAGTGGTGATAAAATATAGTTTTTAAAGGAAAAGGAAGGATACGAAAGGAGGTACTTTGTATACATTTAGTTGCAGCCCCAGTCTTGGAATCACTTCGCAGCAAAGTGTAATATCAACGTAATCCACTGGAGGTCAACAATGCACTGAATCTGAAGATTCCTTTCCAGCTTATAGAATCTGAATCTATGTATGTTGAGTCGTATTTACTCCTATTAATTTGGATACATGAAATAGAATAAAGGTAAGAATAGTAGTATACAGTATATAAACCCATGACAGTGTTTGAAAAAAGAGTGGGCTCGTCCGGGATTTGAACCCGGGACCTCTCGCACCCAAAGCGAGAATCATACCCCTAGACCAACGAGCCGCATGCAAATACTGCCGAGTGTTAAATATTTAAACATACACATGTATTTTATTTAAAAAACATTACACTACAAAATCAAATTTAACAAAGTGAGTAACTGTTATCTGAGCTTACCAGAGAAAAAACTGAAAGCGGTTTGTAAAATTCTTCTCAAGGGGAATGGTTAGAAAATGATCCATGGAGACAACAAGCATACACATCAATGTACATTTAATCAAACATTATTAAAACAATTATTAAAAGCAGGGACATTTAATGGACAAAACAAAAATATATGAAATTGCGTCCATAAACAGGGCAAATGTCTTTCAATATCTAGTTCAGCTTCTAACTACAATATTATCCAGTAATATAATCCTCATCACTAGCATTTATATCTTAACTTAATTTTGTGTAAATTAAATACTACTTTTCTCGTCGCGATTACGCCTCCCCTCTGCCGTAGCGCGTCCTGGTCGCGTTGCATTGTGGTCCTTGTAGTTCTCCGAGCCAGAGGAAGCTGTTGTAGCGGAATCCGAGGAATTTGAGGTGTCCGCCGCCAACTCAGCCTCGTCTGGATCGCGTCCTCCGCTGTTCTTTCCCACCAGACCACTGTGAGGTAAAACAATATCCACATTTTACACACGAACCACATGTTTAAGCTAGCATCGTCCACCGCTCTTTGTGTAGCCACCGCTGCACACACGCTAACATTAGCTCGTTAAGTTACTCCGTCCTTGTTAACGCGATGCTAAAAGGCTTGTCACGGCTCGGAGAGTGTCTGAAGCAGTCGGTTAGCTAGGTAAAACATTGACAATTTGCATTTAATAATTTTCTTACATCACTGATCAAAGCAACTCTAACTATGGTCGATGAAAGCATCACTTCCTCCACACCCATTCTGACTGATCCCGTTATAAAAATGCACTTGTAAGGACGTCCATTAAAACTTTCCCACTGAAATAACGTGCAAGTGGCATTTATTAGCAATTTACGACAAAACAAGAAAGATATGCAGACTTTGCTCTCACTTTGATTCACTTGTAGCTTGGCATTAAACTTTAATAAGGTGGAATGAGTAGGAGAGCTGTTAAAATACGCAACACCAAGACAAAAAGCAGTTTTGATGTTTTCAATAATTAAATCAATAAATGAGTTACATCTTTCTGCAAGAGGAACTGCATATTCAAGGCATTGTCCTTGAATATGCAGTTTCTTTGCTCGCATTCTCAATTTCCTGTCTCAGCCACTTTTTTTTTTCTTTTTTTGGTTTTCTGTTCTCACGTTTTTCTCTCTGTATTTGATTGTAGAATATCAGAAGAAATCGACATGTCTCAGGGCGATAAACTCAAGGTAAGTGTTAGAAGTATGTTTGTTACAATGTTGTGTCATCCAGTTGTTCCAGATTCCTGTTTGTGTTGTGATGAGATTGTGGAGTGATACAAACCAGTGTTGTTGGCCCAGATGAGAAATTCTGCTGCTACTTTGACGTTTGCTTTTTTGATGTGCAGAATGGCAATGGGCCTTTATCCCCACCGCTGTCAGACTGTACAATAAGTCACTTTAAGTCGCTGCACTAAGACTGATAAAACCTGCACTACTATTGACTCTTCTTCTCATTGCCACTTTTCGTACATAATATGTCCTGTTTGCACATTTCTTACTTTTTGCACAATCTTGAGTGTTTCTATCCTTGCCAAAGGTGACATGTAAATTTCTCCTGTGAGATTAATAAAGTAAATCTTATGTTATCTTATATTAAGTAAACTGACTGCATAATTAGCAATGTATGGATTATATATCAATCAATAATACTTATCAAGGCGAGTTCATTTGTATACCAAGTGCAACTCAAAGTGCTTAACAATACAAGATTACAGTACATTAAAAGGACTGAATATGCAGTCCCTCACTTATAATCTCAGCTGTTAATTTCAACCTGGATTTGACCACAGTCAGAGGCTCACATTTTTAGGAAGACTGCTCCAGATATTAGTTTAGTCCTCCCCATGTTTAGTTCTGACTCAGTCCCTGTGCTCCTCAGAGTCTGCGTTTAAGAGGCCATTGAGCGATTAATATACAATAATTGATATTTCTTTTAGACAACACTTCCTGTTGTATGATTCTGAACCTTATTTTACTTAAATATTATGTTTTTGTATAAGATATTATTGAATTTTTTTCATTCCATCGCATGTGTACAATTTAGAATCCAGCAAAAGGGGATGGTTCAAAATAAGTGGATTTTACTTCTCACTGTTTTGTAATATGGTGAAATATCTTTGGATTTTGTTGTTTATTTTTGTGTGTGACTCTATAATAGTTTTTGTATATTCAGAACTAAAATTCGAATTAACATTGAGTTTGTTTCTGTATTTAACAAATCTTAATTAATGAGAAGTGGCAATGTTCTATCAAGTTTGGCGTCTTTATAGCAATCTTTTGAATAACTTAAAAACTAAAACATTTAAATTTACCTACACACTTTGGAATTGTTTTTCTAAATTGACATAATATTACCCTACCAAACTATATATGTCCACATTGTTATAGGTTGCATTGAACTGTATCTTTTAATGTAACTTATAACAATTTTAGCATAAGACCAAGCTTCTATTAGAAAACAGTAATCTAAATGCCTCCTGCCTGCCGTTATTACCGAGTCTGTAATTACCCCAGAGATGTGATGACAGGCAGTTATTTTCTGTGCGTTTGCCCCAAGGGACTTTTCTTCTGCACTTAAGACGTCACGTTAAAGACCTTTTCATAGAAGCATGGCTGTATTAAAGTAATCGTTTATTGACAGAAGAAATATCATGCGTTACTTCTGGCTCCTAAAACATGATGGTGTGACTATTTACTTTTGCCATGGTGTTTTAGAATGAGAAATAATGTATCCACTATAACAAGTATGGTTAAAACATTTTAGTCAAGCACTGCTGCAGACTGGGGCTTTTCTCGGGCCCCAGACTTTAATATGATAATGTAATAATGTGTCAATATTAACGGCTTATTAACCGAGTGCGAGGTCTGTATGGAAAAATATCAGACCGCGGCCTTAATGTACAGACCGAGCCGTGGCGAGGTCTGTACGTTAAGGCCAAGGTCTATTTCTCTGCACAGGCCGAGCAAGCGAGGTTAATAAATGTTTTATTATATGACTCTCGTCTGTGTCTTTACCAATGCTTTTGAGATATTTGTGAAGTATGTTCATGTCCGACTTGGTTTTGTGTGATACGCGCTGCGGACAGATTGTCATGGTAACGGTCCGAGGAAAGATATCAAATGTGATACACGCTGTTCGGACCAATTGTCATGGTAACGGTCCGAGATGGGAAAATATCAGACCGGTAATCAGCCAATCAGAGTGCACGTACGGTCAAAGTCATATAATAATACGTCTTCTAAACCATCGGTCCAGTTTTGGTTCAGTCCTAGCCTGGTCTTACCATATCATATCGTACTCATTTTACCGCAAGTTACGGATAACTAAGGCCAAGCTAGTTCAGTCCAAGCAAAACCAAAAAATAATACCAAAACCAGAGAGATAGATGTTTTGTAATAATTAGAAATTCAAGTGTCCAGAAACAAAAACACCTTGTCATATCATAAATTACACGTCGCCGCTCGGACTTGCTGCCACCGTGGTTAATAATAGAATAATTTCAAATAATAATATAAAAAAGGGTCCTGCTGAGACTAAACCGTGGAGTTTGAGTTCCTGGTTCGATGATAAATGAAAAAGATAATCGTTGACTTTACTCAGCGCCTCTTGGGTCAGTTTGTAATGTTGGTGGGAAAGCTTTTCTGTCGCTGTGGGAAAACATGGGAGAGAAGAATTTAGCTGAAATGTTGTACTTTTCTGTACTCATTTATGTCTAGTCTTGTCTTCTCATGTTTTCATGCGTTACTTGTCAACTGAGGAATCAAAAAATGTCTAGAATTCAACAATATTTACGGACATTGGTCTCTGCCCCTTATGGTCCAATGACTGTTTTTTCTCATTGCATATAAAAGTTCTAGATAGTCTACTGTTGTGATTATTATTACGAGAATAACAGACTTGCAGGTGTGTGTGTGTGTGTGTGTGTGTGTGTCTTGTGCGTGTGTGTATCAGTTGTGTGAGCTCTAACAGTGCAGTGTTGCTGTGTGTCTTCTGCAGCAGGGACAGTTCACAAACCCAGAGACCCCCGGATATGTGGGTTTTGCCAATCTGCCAAATCAGGTTCATCGCAAGTCTGTGAAGAAGGGCTTTGAGTTCACGCTGATGGTGGTCGGTGAGTACTGCGCTATGCTATTATTATCTTTTAACAAATACATCCGATATAAACTAGTATGGAACCGGTTATTTTTTAACTACAAATCTGTTTCTCTAGTTCTTTGACCCCTGCGGCTTGTGTAGCGACGGGGCTAATATGTGTGTTTTTATTGTGGTATAGTTGGGCTGTTGTCAGAGCAGAGTTTCATTTCATTTTTTCATTTGTTTATTTCTTTAAGAGTTTATGGACTTATTATTTTGACTTTGAGTTTTAGTAGCGATAGGACACTCCTTTTTTTGTCAAAATAGATGAAGGTGAATGAGTGATGAAAGCTAACGGTTAAGCTGCTAAACACCTCGTCATTAAATCATGTTGTCACCGGTTAAAACAGTCGTCTCTCCGGTACATTGCAGCATGAAAACCTGCGGCGTATATTCAAGCATGGCCTTTATACGGACAAAATGGATATTCTTGTACGTGGTGCTGCTTTTTATACACAAGTGCGTCTTATAGTTGCTAACATGTTACTCTGGTCCTGGGGAAGTAGAACCACTGCTCACCTACTGCGCAAGACTCAATTCAATTTATTCTTGTATTGCCCTGAATCACAACAGTAGTTTTCTCAGAGGACTTTACAAAACCGTTGAAATCGCCAACACAGATCAGAGAAACGGTTCAAACACATGCAATGATAAAACCACACATGAGCTCAGGCCATTGATCTGATGGGCAGACATCTTGGAGACCTGGGGCTTGGGTCTCAGTATTAAATGTATATGAACGTACTGCACACATACCAGTTCCTGCTAATAGAATATGATTAAAGACAACATGACCATCTTGATCATGAATCCTACATGTATTGTGAATTGAACCAAAACTTGTCTGAATTATTACACCCACACGTAAATCTGAGGTAGATTATGACTCTGTGATTGCTGAATAAGTAGATTTGGGTTTGATAAAGTTATAGCACCCTGATTTAGATGAAGTTGAAAACAATAAAAAAAAGCCACTGATTTATTACAGCACATATTTCACTGCTTCATTTGTTAAAAGCAAAGTCCATTCATTCAGTTCTACGTCAAATCAGTCTTCAAAAATATGCTGAAATCTGATGTATTATTCACCCCATATTTCATTTAGGCTCTTTTTGAAGTAGTAGTAGTAGTAGTAGTAGTAGTAGTAGTAGACTGAGGTGATGTAAGTGCATGTGACAGTGCTCGGTGCAGTCTTGTTCTCTGACATAACAAACGCACACTTCACAACTGGGTCACATGAGGAAGATGAGGAGCATGAGATGAAGAGGTGTTTTCCACTCCCTGTTCCCGGCTGTAAACAGGTGTGCCTCCTCTGCCGGGCCCCAGTGCAGTGTGGGTAATGGCCGTGTCGGGTCCAGCTGCAGCGGGAGCAGCGGGAGCAGGGGGGGAGCTCATCCTCTGGCTCTAAAATAAGGCCTGGAATGCAGCTTGTGGGGCTGGGGGCGGCTGGGGGCAGCTGGACCAGGCCCACCCCACTGTTGGTTTAACCTCCTGTTGCCCTGAGCCATGAGCTGCTTCCGTTTCCACTTTTTCTCTTGTTTCACCGCAAAAAATGATCTCTAGCACTACATTTATGGACATTTATCAACATTTTTGGACATTTTTGGACATTTATGGACATTGGTCTCTGCCCCTTATGAACCAATGGCTTTATGTCTTTTATATCATTTCATTTCTTGAGTTTGATCTGTTTGGTTCTCTGATCTGTGTTGGCGAATTAATCGGTTTTGTAAAGTCCTCCGAGATAACTACTGTTGTGTTGTGTGTGTGATTTAGGGCGATAAATGAATACACTGAATTTAATTAAATCGCCTTTTCGGTCTTGTTTTTTATTTAACTAATCATAGATGGAGAAGGAAGAAGTGGATTTGTTGTTTTATTGTGGTTCTTTTGAAAGACTAGTTAGATTTGGATAGAAAGAGTTTGGATTTTTCTCCATGAAGCTGATGTGAGCTCCTCTAAGACATTTGCGTTGATTTGACTGAAAATAAGTTTAATAATTTCTGATCTTTCAAATCACATACAAGTTCATATACGTTTTCTATTGGCTAATATATATTTGTATCGTCATTACAAGTACATTGGGACAACGATCGACAACAAACTGAAGTTCCACATGAACACTGAGTCTATTGTAAAACTAAAACAAGGGTAATGTCGGTGTGTTGTTTTAGATTATATTGTAACCTGCTGCGTGAACTGTGAGGCTTGACTTGTGTGTGTGTGTAAAGTCTGGGTTTGTTTAGTGTGTGTGTGTCTAGTGTTTTGGGTAGTCTGTGTGCATGTGTAGAGTTTCTAGAGTCTGCTGCAAATCAATTATCCTTTGGAGTTCCTTACAGTTTTCTGAATCAATACAGCATGTACAGTATGTTCATTACAGAATATCGTGCACTAAATCATTTTCAATGTATAATTTTAACGGTTCAAAGTGTGAAACAATAATGCAGAGGTGATGTCGCACACCGAGGCACCGTCAGATGGGTTTCCGTCAGTGTGTGAAGTCTGTGTTTCTGCTGAGTCATGTTGAAAGTCTATAGAAAGACTTGCACTTTTTAATCTATTTGTAGCATTTAGAAAAAAACGGCAGTGTTTCTGTTCAAGAAGAAAAATCTTGTCCTTTTGGTTCATGTCTGATGGTAAAGTGGGCCGTTGCTCAATCGTTTCTGTCTGGACCACAAAGACATCGCTCCTTATTCCTCCCTCTGTTGCAGCACATATTTAAAACAGTAGAAATGGTTAATGCAGTAATCGTTTATAATTAATACTTTTAGTTTCTCAATAATGGTAAAATGTCTTAGTTATTGAGCTCACTTTGGGTGTGTCAACTCGTATAACAGTAAATTCTAAGTTTCACCAGTATAATAAATTAAAAAAACATGACAAATAGTTGTAGTAGCACTAGTACTTTGGCTGAAGTTATTAATTATATATTTTTTTATATACAATTGACCAAAACAAAGCTCCCGTGATGCCCCATGTTCATAAACACAATTCATTCTGTAGTCCGTATAGAATGATCTCAAAGTCATAAAATCTCTTCTTTTTTTTTTTTTAAACGCACTTATACTTAACCCTTTGCTAAATATTTTGACTATTGAATGAAATTTAACTGAATAGATATTTATAATTGCGATTCATTGATAACTTGTTAAAGCCGAACAGAGAATATAAATCTTGTATACATTTATTCTAGTCCCAGACATCTCTGTTTGTATGCATGTTTTTGTCCTTGAAAACCAGATCTCATCAGACCTCTGAAGCAAAGCAGAGCAGGGTCTGGTTAGTACTGTGATGGGAGACCTCTGGCAACAGCAGGTGCCACAATGGGGCGGCTGTGGCTGTAAAGTGCCAAACTGTTGTTGTGTAAGGGAAGACACTTTACCCACGTTGTCTAGAATGAGTCTTGTGTGTGTGAATTAAGTGTCTTTGAGTGTCCTAAGATTAAGAGAGCCTTTACTTGTCCCACAGTGAGGAATTTTCAGTGTTGCATCACAAGTTATAGAACAGTAGGAAAGAGAAGCACACAGCACAAGATAAGTGAACAATAGCTATACTAGCAACTCAAGCATCAAAGGACTAGTATAAAATCTCTATCGTGAACTAATAATAATAAGAGTATAAAAAAGCGCTATATAAAATGCGCTCTTTAAAATTGATGTATTATTATTGTCCTTGTTATGAAACAGTCTCGTCTTGTTCCAGGTGAATCCGGTTTGGGGAAGTCGACTCTGATCAACAGCCTCTTCCTGACGGACCTGTATCCAGAGAGGGTGATCCCCGGAGCTGCAGGTGACCAGTGAACGTGTTTTAGAGATTAGAGTTTCTTCTTCTTCTTCTGTCTTTGACCTTGTGTTTGAACGGGCTGCGGTCAAACAGAGAAGATCGAGCGGACGGTGCAGATCGAGGCCTCCACGGTGGAGATCGAGGAGAGAGGAGTGAAGCTGCGGCTCACGGTGGTTGACACGCCGGGATACGGGGACGCCATCAACAGCCAAGACTGGTACCAGCACACGGTCACACAACAGAATCAGAATTATTATTGCTATTCTAAGTAACATTCATGGTGCAAACAAGTAATACGTGTAAAAATACTGTACATACAAGGCATGCGGAAAAAGTCTTCATAGAATAAGTACTCCATAGATATTTAACAGTGAAGGTTAAAAGGACAGGATATGACACACTTCTGTCTGCTGTGTTATTCATTTATTCATGTATTTCAGGCAATGGGAACAGATGAGTACAAGGTATATAATATCATATAGTGCAAAAAGATAAGGACAGAAAGTTAATGTACAGTGTATATTACATGATACTTGCAATATTCTTGGGTTTCATATGAGGTCAGGGCAGAGGCGCGAATTACAAACGTAGGACAGGACGTGACGTATCCTGGCGCTGCAGTCTGCCGGGTTTATACACGGAGATATAGTAGAAGAAGAAGTGGTTTATACACAGATATAGTAGAAGAAGAAGCGCTGTCAAGATTTCATTTTTTCATTTATTTATTTATTTAATATGGACATAGCAATTAACATTGGACGAACCAGATGCATTGTTTAAAGTGTTATAGCACAAGTGCTAATTTTCAACACCTGTCCATAGGGGGCTTTTAGGTTACAAAGATAAAACACATTAGGAAACAAGGTTACAATAAAACACATTATTAGATGCCATCTTTGTGTGCGGTGTACGCTTGTAGCAACCGCACACTTTGAACAAAATCACTGGAATGAGGCGGGCGAGGTGGATGAAGGCTTTCCCAGATAAGCGCCCCCTGCAGGCCACCCCAATGAACTGTAGCAATTTCTTCTGTTATATTTTCCAAAAATGCCCGAAATCAAGACTCTTTTGAGAAATATTTTTCAGTACTCCCTTAGAATTGAATGTCCCCGATTAAGACTGTTCCAACAACCGTACACCGCACAGGAGGAGAGCCTTTGACTCCAAAACAGACTTTACATGGTTTCCAATGGGAGCAAAACTGAGTTGTCCCACCTCTGCTCATGCGCCCCCTACTGGCCAGTTTAATGAAACACAAGAATACACTGTACGTACACTGTGAGATCATCTGTGTTTGTCAAGGATCAGGGAAAACAGTTCTATCCTGGTCAAAAACTGAAAAGACCTTTATGCTTTACGGGGTGGGAATTGGCAAAAATGTGACAATTCGATAAGTGCAATATTTGAGCCACAATTCAGTATTATTGGGATTCTTAACATATTAAGAAATAATACAGCAAGTGATTTGATTCTGCAATATATTGTCATGTCCCCCATATTATTCAAAGGCCTTACAAAGATTGAGGATAATAAGCTCCACTCGAATGTCACATCTGCACATGAACTGAAGCAAACACTGAGGGTAGAGCAGAAACCTTGAACATTCAGGACACAGGACCTTATTATACTGTAGAAAATATATCTTCATTCTCTGACCTCTCACATGAACAGTGAGCTCCCTGCATCACTTACAGTATTCACATACAACAGACTAGAGTCACAAAAAGCAGACATCATAGAGAAACATAAAACTCAGACATAAATTATAAATGACCAAAGTAAACTCAGAGAAAACACGAAAGATCAATAATGTTTGTCTTGTAGTTTCAGCACCATCATCAGTTACATCGACGACCAGTTCGAGCGCTACCTCCACGACGAGAGCGGACTCAACAGAAGGCACATCGTGGACAACAGGGTGCACTGCTGCTTCTACTTCATCTCCCCGCTGGGCCACGGGTCGGTTTGACTGCCCTCTACTGGCACACCACAAAGACTGCACTTATTTAAGTCAAAATCTGTTTTATTTTTATTGCCTGAAATTTCAACAATTGACGTCTTGAGGTGCGTCACAGAACCACCGACTCCAAATGGTGCTGAGGGATAGTCCTCTGGTCCAGGGAGTCCAGGGTTTCAGGCTGGGGACTAGTAAAAATGTGTTAACTCATGTTTCATCCCTTTTTGCAGCACAAAAACTGTGTTTACAAAGCACTACACAGTCAGCATAAAGCAATAAAAAACAGTCATTCAAACATAATAATGTAAGAAATATAGGAGAATAAAGCACTCAGACGACAAGGTACATACAGATTTCACTGCAGCTACTGTGTATGACCGTGACCAATAATAATAATAATAACAATAAACTAAACTAATTCTGAAGTGACGACCAAAATAAAACAAAGTTACAGTTACAACATATGATATAGTATAATGAATTGCAACCAACAAAAGAAAAGGCAGAAGCAGTTTTTCTACGCCATCGGTTTAACCAGCTTTTACCTTTACATGTATAAAGTTTTACCATATTTAACAAACATAAGTCATACATTCTTGCAGTGAGATGAGTTTTTCTTATTTCTCTGAACAGACTGAAGCCTCTGGACGTCCAGTTCATGAAGGCCATCCACAACAAGGTCAACGTGGTCCCGGTCATCGCCAAAGCAGACACTCTGACGCTGAAGGAGAGGGAGCGACTCAAGCGAAGGGTGAGGGACCAGGACCCTAGACTTCAGACCTTGGATCCAGGACCCTAGACCCCTGACCTATGATCCAGGACCCTAGACCCCAGACCTATGATCCAGGACCCTAGACCCCAGACCTATGATCCAGGACCCTAGACCCCAGACCTATGATCCAGGACCCAGAACCCTAGACACCATACCGAGGATCCCAGGACCCTAGTCCCCAGACCCAGGACTCTAGACCCCAGACCCTAGACCCAGGACCTGAGCCTTTTATACTTCTAATCCACAGATTCTTGATGAGATCGACGAACACGGTATCAAGATCTACCACCTTCCCGACGCTGAGTCTGACGAGGACGAAGACTTCAAAGAGCAGACCAGGATCCTGAAGGTAGAGCCCTGTGGATCTGTGTCCACTCTAGTCCAGCACCGGTCTCTCTCTACAAAGTCCACTGCTGCATTTCCTGAATTTCTTCACACACTTTCTCACAACTGTCCACGGAACAATGATCATTCAATTCAATCCAATTTATTTTTGTGAAGCCCTAAATCACCAACACAGTTCAGAGAATCACAAAGACAGATACAGACAGATACAGACAGATACAGACAGATACAGACAGATACAGACAGATACAGACAGATACAGACAGATACAGACAGATACAGACAGATACAGACAGATACAGACAGATGCAGACGGACGCAGACGGACGCAGACAGACGCAGACATGCAGACAGATGCAGACAAAGATCGATACAGACGCAGACAAAGGTCGATACAGACGCAGACAAAGATCGATACAGACGCAGACAAAGGTCGATACAGACGCAGACAAAGGTCGATACAGACGCAGACAAAGGTCGATACAGACGCAGACAAAGGTCGATACAGACGCAGACAAAGGTCGATACAGACGCAGACAAAGGTCGATACAGACGCAGACAAAGGTCGATACAGACGCAGACAAAGGTCGATACAGACGCAGACAAAGGTCGATACAGACGCAGACAAAGGTCGATACAGACGCAGACAAAGGTCGATACAGACGCAGACAAAGGTCGATACAGACGCAGACAAAGGTCGATACAGACGCAGACAAAGGTCGATACAGACGCAGACAAAGGTCGATACAGACGCAGACAAAGGTCGATACAGACGCAGACAAAGGCGATACAGACGCAGACAAAGGTCGATACAGACGCAGACAAAGGTCGATACAGACGCAGACAAAGATCGATACACAGACCGAGACAGACACTTTATTGAGAAATGCAGGTGTCCAGCAGCATCCATCCATCAGTGGGACGGTAAAAGTAAATGTAGTCTCTCAATTAAAAATGTGTTAAACCTAAATTAACATGACCTTTACAAGCAAACAGGAGACCAGTGCCTGTTTCAGACTCAGTTCATTTTCCATTTGCAGTAAAACCACTTTGTAAAACATGGTCGTTAAACTGAGCATAATGACTGCGTTGCCAGGCGAGCATCCCGTTTGCGGTGGTGGGATCCAACCAACAGATCGAGGCCAAAGGGAAGAAGGTGCGCGGGCGGCTGTACCCCTGGGGCGTGGTGGAGGTGGAGAACCCCGAGCACAACGACTTCCTCAAGCTCCGCACGATGCTCATGTGAGTGCCGCGGTTAACCAGAGGAGAGATGGTCACATGGTAAAAGAAGGTTTATTATATAGCGCTTATTTTGGACACGCTTTACAAAATACATAAAAATAAACATTGAAGAACAAAATGAAGGGAAGGCTAAAACAGGTGGGTTTTGAGAAGCGATTTAAAGTTCTGTAGTGAGTCGGAGTCTCTGATGGTTGTCGGAGTGGGTTCCAGAGAGTGGGGGCAGCTGCGGCAAAGGCTCGGTCCACCAAGGTTTGGTGGTTAGTCCGGTGGCGAGTGAAGAGGTTGGAGTCTGTGGATCTGAGGCGGCGGGAGGGACAGTGATGATGGAGGAGGTCAGTGAAGTAAGAAGGAGCAGGTTATGGAGGGACTTGTAGGTGAGAAGGAGGAGGAGCTTGTATTGGATGCAGAATGGGACAGGGAGTCAGTGAAGTTGTTTGAGGACAGGGGTGATGTGGTTTTTGGAGCGATTATTGAAGCAATGTCACAGAATGCAACCCTATACTTTAGTAATTCATGAATACCACTATTGCCGGACTTTAAGCCGCTAAGTTTTTCTTGTTATTTGAATCCTGCAGCCAATGTACAGTATGTAATTTTATTTTGTTAGCGTCCAAAACCCTTCCTCTATCTCCAGAGATGACGATGTAGCACCATGGATCTATAATAATAACTGGATAGAGTATTACTAGCTTATAGCTGTCCCACCCAAGGGCACAGGGGGCGCCCGTGGTACTGCAGACTAAATTCACTCGGGCTACCCACAAAAAAGTCCCATAGACCTCAGCTGACAGAGAACCTACAGCTTTCATAAAGATCAAATTTTGTGTGGATTTTAGTGTCCCTTGTCATCCTGAACTTTTTTTCTTTAAATCCACACTTTACTGCTACAAACTCTGCTCGTTTCCTTCCTGCTCTGGCTCCGCTCTTTCGGTGCTCTGATGAACAGCTCTGATTGGTCAGAACGCGGCCGAGCCCCTCTGTGCGCGTGCATGAGACCCACACACACACGTATTTGGCGCGACGCATCATAATAATCCACTGCGCAGAACCGGGAAGACCAGACGATGCCCAAATGTTGGAGAGTTCTGCTAATCTCCCGGTCTCCGTGAAGTCCCGTGAGCTACTGAGCACAAGCCATTCATTTGAATAGGACGCCATCTTGGATCACCGGGGCTTGCGTAGCACACATTCCCACATCCTGAGTGTTTATGGAAGTGCAGGGATGTCCATAAATGTTTTATCAGGGATGGTATGCTAGCTTATAATTTAAAATAGGTTGGATTTACCAGAGTTTATCGGTCGTCCATCTGATTTGTCTTCCTCCATCAGCTGTTGGTTAAGTGTGACATTACATGATGAAAAAGTGCCTTAAAAGACAGTATTAAGTGACCATTAGCCCTGTCTCACTCCCCCATACAATGACGTCCTCATCTTTCTGCTTTATCCCTGACTTCCTGCCCTCCGTTCCCACAGCACACACATGCAGGACCTCCAGGAAGTGACCCAGGACCTCCACTACGAGAACTTCCGCTCCGAACGGCTGAAGCGCGGTGGCAGGTTGTCGTCGCACGGTTACATTCTGCCTCTCTCTCCTGTGTATGTACTGTCTGCTTCTCCTCCGCACACCTCCCCCAGCACCAGGCCGCGACCAGGCCCAGGCGCCTTAGCACTGACACGGGCTAGCGTTAGCATTCGTCAGTTCAAATATATATGTATAATCGCAAAACTTTTACGAAGTTGTGAGATAGTAACGGGTTTGATCAAGTGGGATTTCAGACAGGATTGGTCGATGGGAAAGCAGTATTACTTCGGAGTGGGAGTTATACAAGTCGTACAGTGGGAATTTGCTGGTCCCATTGGCAAATCTGAAGTTCAATTCCATATATTTTTGCGTAGAGCCCTAAATCAAAACAGTGGTTATCTAGAAAACCGCCGACTCGCCGACACAGATCAGAGAATCACTCAGTTCAGACACATACAGTGATAAAAACACACAGAGCCAGTTTCTCGCTCTTCAAAATCGTTCACAATCGTTTGTATTTGTTAATGGATTAAATGTACCGGTATCTTTTTAGACAAATACTGGCGCATGATAGCATAACGTAGCTTAACATTTTGTCTAGTTAGAATATTATCAGTGTTTTGCATGTTCATTTCATTAGTAGATTTAACAAGGCTCATTAGACTCTTGCTTCCACCAACTGAACCACAAATGGACAAATTAGTTAAACTTGAATGTCCTGACTTTATAAATGCACACTAGTGATCAGTTTTTAAATTAATATTTTGTTGTTATTTTTGACGCATCTTTATCTTCTGCACTTCCAGTTCCAGGCTAATGCTAGTTGTAAAAATGAAAGTTAATTACCTACCAATAAATGCATAACTAAACTTGGAATAGCCAGATTTTGTGTCTCTCCTCTCCTGTGTTTTTTGAAGTTTGATTTTGGCGGAGTTAATGAACCAAAACAAAATGGCTGTTAGCCTAGTGTTAGCTTTCCATTAGCTTAGCATTAGCTTACCATTCTAATTGTAGCCAAACTAAGCATAAACAATTGAGCTGTTTTTAGGTAAGGCTGGTGCTGATGAGACCCGCCCCCAAGGCCTCCTGATTGGACGAAATCAATTCAAATCCTTGACATTTGAGGCCCCTCCCGTTTGGTCTTAACTAATTCTCCTCAAGCCAATCTTACTAAGGATGCTTATTCAAAGGCAAGGGACCGTTTTAAGTATATTTATTATGAAAAATACTTAATATAGATGATACAACAGGGTAATATTGTCAAAAAAGTATCTAACTATATTTCTGACTGTCACTTGGTGGGGGCAGGGTTCCATCTGTATCTGTTTGTAGTTGGTTTTACTTGCACAGAGTATATTTTTAACATCGCAAGATCACAGTTTAACCTCATATGAAACTCTTGAGTCGCGCAGCCGTCTTCTAAAGCAGGAAGCAGCAGAGGTTTGTTCACCGGCCGAGGAGGTATTCACAAACTCGGGGGGAGGTACCGCTGTTTCCCCCTTGACTCCGCCGCTTCTGTCTCCCACTTTAACCTTCTTCAGATCTGTGTAGACGTGTGTCGGTAGAGCCCAGTCCGCCCCTAACCTCAGCCAAACTAACCCATGTCCTTTCTGACTTTCTCAATGTGGCTTTGGCTTTGCTTTTGAGACGCAGGCATCAGCTCATAACACGTCAATAACACGGCAATAACACGGCAATAACACGGCAATAACACGGCAATAACACGTCAATAACACGTCAATAACACGGCAATAACACGGCAATAACACGTCAATAACACGGCAATAACACGTCAATAACACGTCAATAACACGGCAATAACACGTCAATAACACGGCAATAACATACGTCAATCACACGTCAATAACACGTCAATAACACGGCAATAACACGGCAATAACACGTCAATAACACGGCAATAACATACGTCAATCACACGTCAATAACACGTCAATAACACGGCAATAACACGGCAATAACACGGCAATAACACGTCAATAACACGGCAATAACATACGTCAATCACACGTCAATAACACGTCAATAACACGGCAATAACACGGCAATAACACGGCAATAACACGTCAATAACACGGCAATAACATACGTCAATCACACGTCAATAACACGTCAATAACACGGCAATAACACGTCAATAACACGGCACATGTTACTACGGCTGCACGGTTTATGGCAATGGTCAAAAACTACAATCATTAAGTTCTCTTCAAAAAAAGCGCTTTCTTTCATTACTGATAAGTCTTAACTCAGTGGTTCAAAAATTTTCTAACGGCCATTTAGAGTCAGGCCATTTATTTTTCAAAACGAGTGTAAGTTAGAAATATTACTATACAGTATTTTATTCTTGCTTCTTCCTTATGCAAAGTTAGAGATTTTAGATTAGCTTCTTTTTTATGAGATTTTTTTTTTTTTTTGAGTACTAGTTATACGGTACAATAGAGCCATTGTTCATTTATCTTATGTTGTAGTAAGTAGTAGTAAGTAATCAACACTGAAATGTCCCCACTGTGGGGAAAATAAATAATAATCGAAAAAGCAAACAATTGAACAGTAGTTTATGTTAATGATTCTTTTCAAATTGTAGATTCTCTCGGATGTGCTGGAGTCGTGCGTTGCCGTAACCGTGCAGCCCTGACACACACACACACACACACACACACACACACACACACACACACACACACACACACACACACACACACACACACCACACACACACACACACACACACACACACACACACACACACACACACACACACACACACACACACACACACACACACACACACACACACACACACACACACACACACACACACACACACACACACACACACACACACACACACACACACACAATGATTTAATCCAGTTCTGTCTCTTTTATCTGCTCTGTAACTCACACTGGTTGTTGATCCAGGAAGGGACCGGAGCCGGAGGAAATGGACAAGGACATAATTCTGCAGGAGAAGGAGGCTGAGGTGAGGGATCGCGTTTCAGATCTCGCTGTCGGGAAAATGAGTTTAAATCTTAACCGTCGTTTCATCAACGTGTGTGTTCTCTGCAGCTGAGACGGATGCAGGAGATGATCGCCAAGATGCAGGCGCAGATGCAGAAGCAGGGAGACGGTAAGGGCCGCGGCGGTCACTGTAGGGAGACGGTAAGGGCCGCGGCGGTCACTGTAGGCCTGCTGCAGTTCAGGCCTCCGCTAAGACGTGTGTGTCTCTCTGTTTCTCTCTCTGTCTCTCTCTCTGTCTCTCTCTCACTCTGTCTCTCTCTCACTCTCTCTCTCTCTCTCACTTTCTCTCTGTCTCTCTCTCACTCTCTCTCTGTTTCTCTCTGTCTCTCTCTCTGTCTCTCTCTCACTCTCTCTCTCTCTCTCACTGTCTCTCTGTTTCTCTCTGTCTCTCTCTCTGTCTCTGTCTCTCTCTCACTGTCTCTCTCTCTGTCTCTCTCACTCTCTTTCTCTCACTGTCTCTCTGTTTCTCTCTGTCTCTGTCTCTCTCGCTCTCTCTCTCTGTGTGTCTCTCTCTCTGTCTGTCTCTCTCTGTCTCTGTTTCTCTCTCTCTCACTGTCTCTCTCGGTTTCTCTCTCTGTCTCTCGCTCTCTCTCTCTGTCTCTCACTGTCTCTCTCTGTTTCTCTCTCTCTCTGTCTCTGTCTCTGTCTCTCTCTCTCTCTCGCTCTGTGTCTCTCTCTCTGTCTCTGTCTCTGTTTCTCTCTCTCTCACTGTCTCTCTCGGTTTCTCTCTCTCTCTGTCTCTGTCTCTCACTGTCTCTCTCTGCTTCTCTCTCTCTCTGTCTCTCTGTCTCTGTCTCTCTCTCACTTTCTCTCTGTCTCTCTCTCTGTTTCTCTCTCACTGTCTCTCTCTCTCTGTCTCTTTCTCTCTCTATCTCTGTCTGTCTCTCTGTCTCTCTCACTCTCAGTCCCTCTCACTGTCTGTCTCTGTTTCTCTGTCTCTCTCTGTATCAGTCTCTCACTCAGTCTTGCTCCTTGTCTTTCTTTCTGTGTGTCTGTATCGCTCTCTCTCTCTTTGTATCTGTCTCTCTGTGTCTGTCTCCCTCTGTGTATAGTTTTAAAATAAAATCTTAAAATCCAGAGAAAATGAAATATACTCTCGTCAAGGAAAACAAAAATCCATCTCTTTTGAACAGTTTCAGTCCTAGTTTTAGGCTTGATTTTAATCTACATTAATCTAGTTTTTGCTGCCCTCCTGGCGTGTATTTTACCCTCAGGTTATGGGGGATTTGTTCCTTGACGTGAAGCGCTTTGAGTTCATTGAAAAGATTAAAAAAAATACTACATTCTATTACTATAGAACTTTTATAATTATGTATTTGTGACATATGAATTTCTCCTTCATGGAAGCAACAAAGTATCAGTCTATATAAATATGACAATTTACAATTTATCTTATGTCTCTTGCTTTTCAGACCTTTGAGCCTGGTCTGGTCTGGTCTGGTCTGGTCCAGGAGCTGCTGGACTCTCACTGCCTCTCTCGCCTCTGTGGGATCTCCCTTCGTACAACACATAGTCCATTCAGTGTTTCTTATATTCATGTTACTTGCTTTAACAACTTTTTTTTAATATAATTTGTATTTTATGAAGTATCGCCACACGACCTCTTTGAGCCGCTGTTACTTTTAGTGTCCTTATTTACGTTTTAAAACCAAAGTCGTGCTCGATTCGGCCTGAAGCGCCTTAGCTCAGTGAGGGGGGGCGGTGTATTGGGAGTAGCACATTTACACTTTGCCAACAAGAACTTAAAGAAAGAAAGACTTATCTTATTGTTTGCATGCATTTGTCGACCCTTTCGTCCCCGGGCTGCAATATCCCCCATGTTACAATTCAAAATCATCCTCAACATATGAATATTCAGGCATTTACTGCAAAAAAATGATCAAAGATGAGGTAGGAATTGCTTGAATCGAGTGGGTTTGTATCTTCATTTGACTTAAAACAAGATTTGCCAATGAGACTAAGCTATTTAGTATTTTTTCAAGAACTATTGCTTTATTTTCTCATTCTAAGAGATAGATTTTGTGTATCTTTTCAAAACAAGATTATTCTCAAATCTTGATTAAGGCAGTCAGAATCTGCTCAAATTAAGAGACAGTTTGCGCAATTTTTAAACTTATTTTTTGTCACTTTTTGCAGTGTTCAAACCATGTCCTTGTTTGTGTTTTTGCTCATGAAAAAGTTACTGCCAAATCCTGCAGGTGTGACCCTAAAACGGTTGATGTAGCCCCAGTGTTTCCAGTCACCAGCCAAACAACATTCCTAGACAGTATGCTACAGTTACAGAAATATTCCAAATGCTTTTATTGTAATAAAGGTTTTATCAAAGTCGACGCGTGTGTTGGGAGTTTGTGCGACGCTGCTAAGTCTAGTTTAACATGGGAAGTATATTGGTGTGAATAAGTCGACAGAAGAATCTTGTATAAGTAAAATGTTCTCTTTAGTTAGAAAGAACCCTCATTATTTGAGTTGTCCTCTCATGTTTGTCTAAAAAAGCTAGCCATCCTGGTTGCCAGAACTCACCGTGTCAAGCTAATCTCACTGATAAAGTAACACGTGGCCGCAGTACTCCTGTCTATCCAGTCATTATGGATCCCAGCTGGCTTCGTCTGCATATCTGGCAACCTGAGAGTGGGCACTACAGAATATTGACCGTGACTGCAGTATCACTTTTGGCCAGATTATGTATTTAAGCAATTAGGGGCTGGCCATAAAATTGAGTTTGCATTAAAATATAAAATCATTCTTTAAAAACAACCTGACATTTTCATAATGTATACTATTTACCAATTAAATTGTTAAACTGCAAGTTTTGATATGACTTGTTTACAGTTAAAGAGAGTGGGATAAAATAAACTGAATAAGTGGGACAGGTGTCGGGGAAGTAGTATAATGAGACGGACATGAACGCACCTGCAGGTTTTAGATTTAATGTTTTCTACAATAAACCAGTTTAAATGGCCACGAGATGTGCTTGATGTGAGTCAGAAAATAGACGCCCAAATGCTACTTGATTGTTTCGAAGCAAAGACAAGCCGGTCTAAAGCTGTGACAGAGGCTTAAGATACACACACGTGAAAACTATAGACCCTCCAGGAACATGGATTTTTAGTTTAATGTTTTTGTTGTTTGAAAATGAGGTGCCGCAGCTTTAAATCCTACTGTATAACCTGGAAGTATATGAAGATACAGGGTAATGGCATCTCTAACTTACTATTGTCTGGAATAGAAGAACCAAATGGCCTTATATGAAGATAAAAGTGTGTTATTTTAAACATGTAAATAAGTAAAAAAATTGACAAACTGGTCACTTTCCATAAACTTTTATTATATCTTTTCTCTTGGTCTAAACAGTTATTCACAACATCCTACAGGTCATGGTTCTGCTTTAAATACTCTTGTCATTTTAACACAAAAACTGTAAAAATATTTCATTATATCTAAATTTGTTTGGACAGTAAACAGGGAGGTGGGAACGTGGAGGTCCAGGAGGTGGCGCTCATCGTGAGGAAGGGGCGGAGTTACCGTTCAGAGAAAACCTACAGGAGATTAAAAAAAAAACATGGATGAGTTACCGATGAGGGGTTAAAACGCTTTGGTGAAGTTGCTAGCATAGTGTGGCTATAGCTGCATGTGAAAGCCAGATCCTGTCAGACATCTGAGGCTAAGCAGGGCTGTGTATGGTTAGTACTGTGATGGGAGACGTCTGGGAACATCAGGTGCCACAGTGAGGCGGCTGCGGTTGCAAAGTGCCACTGTTGTTGTGTCCTTAGGCAAGTCACTTCACCCACATTGCCTAGAATGAGTCTGGTTTGGGACTACACTGGGACTATATTGAGACCATATTGGGACTTCACTGGGGCTACATTGGGAATGCTTTGAGACTACATTAATGTGTGTGTGAATGTTTGGTGTTGGTCAGAGGGGCAGATGGCATAGAGTGGATGCCTCGCTTCTGTCAGTGTGCCCCAGGGCAGCTGTGGTAACCCTGCAGCATCTGTGTTGGTAAATTGACAACTTTGTATAGTCCTCAAGACGACAACTGTTGTGATTTAGAGCTATACAAAAACATCTAATTGAACTTTACAGCCACAGCCAACCCACTGTGGCGCCTGGTGTGCCCAGAAGTCTCCCATCCCGATAAAAACCAGGCCTAACCCTGATTAACACTGACCTGCACACTCGCTCCATCATGTGCGTGACCAGTCTGTCGGAGATGCCTGGACAGGACTCTTCTGCCAGGTTAAAGGCGTTCTCCAGCTCCTCGATGGCTCCCACGCCGCCTCCGCTCGCTCGCCGCTTCTCCTTCAGCTGAGCACAAACACACATCTACTAAGACCAAGTCGCCGTCAAATACTTGTTACAATTATTTAGTTTTTTATTTATTTGTCTATGTCATCATAAAAATACACTGCCAGAAGTGATGAAAAATAAGTAAAAAATTGCTCAAATCTGTGTCTTAAATTGAGCACATTCTGACTGCCTTCAAACAAGATTTGCCAATGGGACAAAGCAAAAGTATATTATTTTAAAGATAAAGATAAAGATAAAGATAGAAATGTTGTCCTTGGAATGATAAAATAACAGTTCTTGAAATCCACCTAAATGGCTTTGTCCCGTTGGAAAATGTTTTAACACAGTCACAATGAACTCAGATTAAGATTAAAATAAATTATTAACCTATTGCCATTTTTTGCAGTGTATTGAACAAACAGGAAGAGAAGAAAGACAATATCCATGGCAACGCTTTATATTAGCCCTCTACTAATTACCAGTTAATTAAGTAACTAGCCCAAACCCACATGAGACAGTCTCAGTTAGTAGTTAGTTAGATGTTGACTAAGGTCATGTAGAAAAAGGACTAATAAGAGCTTAATCAATACCAATTAAGAACTCATTAACTGATGATTTAAAAAACACTATAAAGTATTTACTTTAGTTACCTCTCTGAAGATGGGCGTGACCAAAGCAGATAAACACTGGGATTTTGGCTGCCGTAGAACAGACTCTCCAGGAAGATTCTGAGAAGAGAAGAGAGGATTAGTCTGGGACTAGACTGGGACTGCACTGGGACTAGACTGGGACTGAACTGGGACTAGACTGGGACTGCATTGGGACTGCATTGGGACTGCATTGGGACTACACTGGGACTAGACTGGGACTGAACTGGGACTAAACTGGGACTAAACTGGGACTACATTGGGACTACATTGGGACTACACTGGGACTACACTGGAGCTACATTGGGAATGCTTTGAGACTACATTAAGACTACACTGGGGCTACACTGGGACTATATTGGGACTGCATTGAGACCATATTGGGACTTCACTGGAGCTACATTGGGAATGCTTTGAGACTACATTAAGACTACACTGGGGCTACACTGGGACTACACTGGGACTACACTGGGACTACATTGGGACTACACTGGAACTACACTGGAACTACACTGGGACTACACTGGGACTACACTGGGACTACACTGGGACTACACTGGGACTGCATCGGGACTACATTGGGACAAAACTGCGATTACACTGAGACTACACTGGGACTACACTGGGACTAAACTGGGACTGCATCGGGACTACATCGGGACTACATTGGGACTAAACTGGGATTACACTGAGACTACACTGAGACTACACTGGGCCTATACTGGGACTATACTGGGACTAAACTGGGACTAAACTGGGACTACACTGGGACTACACTGGGACTACATTAAGAATACATTGGGACTACACTGAGACTACACTGGGACTATACTGGGACTACAGATGGACAGTGTCTGGAGGGTCAGTCACCTCGCGGTCCGTGTGGGGGTAGCCCTGCTGCAGCGAGCTGAGGGTGGAGGGTCTCACTGTCGGGAAAGACCACATGGGACCAGGCTCTCCATCATCAGCGTCCCTGAAGAAAGACCAGAACAACTTAAGAGAGAATTTTTTGTTTTTAGTAAATATTTTGAACAGTCATAATGTACCTCCAGATTTCAATATTGTATTATTTTATCATCTATAATCTTAATTACTAGATCCTGTGTTATGTTTGCTCGTATTTCTCCTTCGAAAGTGCAACTATGACATTGAAATTTCCCACTGAGGAACAGATAAATGTTTATTAAGAGATCCTTAATTTGTCCCACAGTCGGGAGATTTCAGTGTTGCATCACAAGTTTCAGAACAGTAGGAATGAGAAGCACACAACACAAGATAAATGAACAATAACTCTAGATAAAATAATTTAGCATAATAAAGAATATCTAATCTTATTCAAAAGAACCCATGTCTATCTGCGCAGGCTGCAGGCCACAGATCTGTTCCCGTGGGTCAGGACTAAAATGTAAAGTCTGTAAAAGAACGCACATGTCTGAGTCGTCAGAGCTGGACTCTTCTCCGTGACCTTCAGATTTCCAGCGTCTGTAGCGGTCGATGAGCTCCGTCAGGTAGGACGTCTTCTTCGTGTAGCGTGTGATGAACTTGTGCTTCAGGAGCTCTTTGGCCGTCGGTCTCTGGAGATGTTTAACAACGACAAACACTTTATTAAACAGGTGGGAAAAGAGAAATGAAGAGACGAGTTCCAATATGTACAAATGGCAGGTAGGAAAAAAAATCCAATATTGTGCCTATTTCTACAATACAGCCCCAATCTATAACTTTAATGGTGGATCATAAATAGTGTTGGGAATTTTCAAAGATAAAAACTTTCCACGAGAATTTATAGCCTGGCTCCAGGCCAAACTTTAGTCCCGCCTACATGAAATTTCAGCAGGCCGGTTGAAATTGTTGGTAGGCGGGCCAAATGACGGCGCAAGGCAAGGTAATGTATGGGAATAAATGGGATATAACTGGGAAAAAGTAAAGGTTGTAAATTTCTCCATTGTGAGATCAATAAAGTTTATCCATCTTATCTCTTCATTGGGAACTTAAAAATAATTGAGGAAAGTACATTTTAGCATCATCTTGACTAAAATAAACGCCATTCAAATGCACTTAAATATCCATGTCGTTCCTCAATCCCAGGCACTGCTACTGAGACCACGCCCCCTACTGGTCATGTGCCTCCATCATGTACAGAAGATAAAGAAGACAACCACAGTTTAGTCTGCAGGCTCAATTTTAATCAAAAAAAAAAATCTATTTATGCTTTGTTATGATACATTCTAATTACATCACAATTAATTCCCAGCTGTAGAATATTTCCAAAATTCCACAGCTTAAATTCCCATGGAAATTTACCAGAAACTTTCCGGATATGTACCAGAAATGTTCCACCCTTTGCAACCCAAATCATAAATATCATTGATCAAAAGTGAATAGCGATTCTGCTTTTTCCACTGCAACTTTTTTCAAACCGCCTCTAATGCCTTCAGCTCGTGCAGCAACCCGCCTCCTCCTTACAACCTCACTGGCATATGACCTATTGGACCAGTCCCGGTTAAATGTACTCACAAATCGCGGGTCTTTATTTAGACACGATTCCACAAACTCCTTGAAGGGTTTGCTGTAGGGGCCCTCCAGCGTCGGGGGTGTGTTCTTGGGGATCAGGAACAGCACTCTCATTGGGTGAAGCTCAGAGTTGGGCGGTTCCCCTTTGGCCAACTCTATCGCCGTGATGCCCAGTGACCAGATATCAGCCTGAGAGAGACAGAAGCCAGGTTTAATAATATTTCAAGTTCTTCACTCTAAACCAGGGGTGCCCAAAGTGGGGCCCGCGGGCCAAAGTTGGCCCACCAAATATTGCCCACCTCCGCTATAAGTTTCTATCTGCGTTCCTCAGCCTCGCTGAATTAAGAGACATATTCCTCTGAATTCCGACTGTCCAGTACTTAACTGTTGTATCGAGATACACTCCTCACTCATGGTTCACATCAACTTGCACTAAAATGTTTTTTAAAATCAAACACATCTTTCAAAACAATTGGGTGCAAGGCCCCTTTATGTTATTTTTTTTCAGCCTACTATTATTATTTTTTGGAGCTATTTAATGTTTTATCAAATTGAGAGGATTGTGCTGGCGAACTGCCACTCCCCCTCCTCACCGGAGGGAAATGGCGAGTGGAACTATTCACCTGCGCAATCCGCACCCACCCGGTGTGTTAAAAAGGACGGACACAAACACTTCAGAGTGAGTTCAAGCAGGACAAGTAGGGATCGCAGCGCACGATCCACGCAAGTAGAAGCAACAAATACTGTGCAAAACAAACCCTTCTACAGCCCCATGAAAGAAGCCGGTAAGCACCGTCCTCACTCGCGATCAGTGAATGTCAGAACTTACGCGGAGTTTTATGATGCGTTCAAGAGCCCTTTGGAGGAGCGGAAACTCGGACTCTTTAACAGTTACTTTGTTTTGATTGTTTATAAATGTTGTACTGTGTTTAGCCATAACAAAACAAAACTCCAGGAACAAATCATGGTTAACTAGTCTGATTTTGTTAGTTTAATATTCAGTTCACTACTAATTGAGAATACTTGTCCTATGTTAAAACAGAGTTAAAACCTGATCATGTTTAGAAAATGCAGTTAGCAATTATGTTCCCAAATTCATTACTTAATGTTAAAATGTATTGTTTAAAAGTGTGCTAAAACCAGATCTATTGATCAGTGATGTCTCCCCTTTTTGATAAAAGCTAAGATAAAGTAATATGATTCAAATGTAGTTAAAAACTTTTGTTCAAAATAAATATATGAAAATAGACTTGGAAATTGCTTTGGCTCAGTGCAACAGAGATAATAAAAATAAAGAATAAAAAACACTTCTAAGGAATAAATTTAAATTTAAAATAGAGTTAGTTACTATTTACAATATACAAGTGCACATGGTGCACACAAAATGTATGTTTCTGTTCTCTTTTTGAGGTTTTATTATATGATTTTAACCTTTAAATCTCCCTCCTCTGGACCCTGATTACCCGGCCGGAATCTTTCCGTACTGTAGTCTCCTCAAACCTGCATATTTCCCTGGAGCCTCCACTTCCCTAAGACTGTGTTGATTTCATTCATTCAGCTGTGATTTGCACTGATAGACAATAATTAATGCATTTAAAAGAACTTGATCAAATCTACATTTATTTGTGTTTCATGCATAATATTGGTGTATTTGGCCCGCGGCCCACTGGCAAATTTTTACTTTGGCCCTTGGAAGCAAAAGGTTTGGGCACCCCTGCTCTAAACAAAGATGAGAGAGAGGAAAAAATAGGCGACAATCCCATTTAGTTGTAAGATGGAAAATTTGAATCTGCTATATTTAGGTTTAATCAAGGGCCAACCTTTTTCACCCAGAGAGCTACTTTCCCGGGACGATAAAGGCAGAGAGCTACTCCTTCAAGCGGCCCTGGGAGACATTTCATAATATATTGGTGTGAACAAACCTGATATTGGGAACAGACATTTATCATGGCACATTTGTTACTACTAGTGCCTAAAGTAAGTGCATTTACAATAATAAAAAATGATTTTGAATAATACAATCTGGAATATCAAGTATATTATCTGATTTGTACATTACTAAGTCCTTTGGCGAGCTACCGGGAAGGGGGTGGCGAGCTACAGGTTGGAGACCCCTGATCTAGGGGTAATAATGGACAGCCACATCAAATGACTAGAACCTGGAAGTACGAGCACTTTGACTTGCCTTGTGTATGAACTGTGCAATACAAATAATCTCAGATTCAGATTCAGATCAGATTCACATTCAGATTCAGATCAGATTCAGATTCAGATCAGATTCACATTCAGGTCAGATTCAGATTCAGATTCCGATCAGATTCAGATTCAGATCAGATTCAAATTCAGATTCAGGTCAGATTCAGATTCAGATCACATTCAGATTCAGATCAGATTCAGATTCAGATCAGATCAGATCAGATTCAGATCAGATTTGGATTCAGATCAGTTTCAGATCAGATCAGATCCAGACTCATTTGTTTGCTATTTGCAGTAAAACCCCATTGGAATACATTTGCGAGAGTCCCCCTACTCCAGCCGCCGTGACCTTCTTGCTTTTTGCGGTGACATCACTAACCATGAACGCTCCCGTCTCACCTTAAAGTCATACGCCGACTGCTTGATGACCTCCGGGGCCATCCAAAAGGGAGTCCCCACAAACGTGTTCCTCTTGATCTGCGTGTCGGTGAGCTGCCCCGCCACGCCGAAGTCGGCTAGCTTCACCTCCCCCTGCTCCGACAACAGCACGTTAGCAGCTGTCGACAAGAGCCAAGTCACATGATTAGTTGGGTTTTGCAATTTTTTATCATTTCATCACATACTGTATATAGTACTGGTTGGACTAAATATTTATCTGTCCGCTCTGGAGAGTAGCTTCAGTAATAGACTGATCTACCCTCGCAGTGTGAAGGAGAGGTTTTGCAGGTCCTTCCTTCCTGCAGCTGTCAGACTGTACAATGAGAACGACCAAGTCTATACGTGTGCCACTCACCTGTTCTGATAATCCACTAGACACTTTACCTGCTGCTATTATTACTATTGTTTATCTATATTCTCTACTGCCAAAGTGCAATAGAAACATGTGTAAATCGTCGAACCAACTGACAATATAGCTCATTATAATGTTTATGTCATTTCATTATCTCATGACGTTAGTATTTTATTTAATGTTATTATCTATTGTCTTAAATAATAGATCCTGTTTGACGTGTGCAATCTGAGTGCTCTTATGATGACATTGATATTTCTTCACTGTGGGAAGAATAAAGGTCTGTCCTATCTTTTCTATAAGCTTTTGGTTCTTCCTGTCTTTGTCAATGTTTTTGTGATCTCTGCCGTTTCAAACTATTTGTAAATATGGAGCCTAGACATGTATTAGAAAACTGTCGTGACAAGGCAGGGTGTCAAAATGTATTCAAACTCCCTGCCACACAATGATTTGCACTGTTTTACTATTTCCCTGAGCCTTGAGTATGGTCCAATGGTTCTGTTCATGTCCTGGTGATTTGTGTGTGTCAGTAAAAAAAAAAACACAAAAAAAAATCCCTAAAAATTCACGATTACCACCAACATGTGAAGTCAATATATGCAGATTAGATGGGTACATTTAATTCCTACTAAAACTTTGGGCCATTCTCATAACTTATTTAATTTACATAAAGCCTCTTTTAAAGTTATTAAGAAAAGAAGATGTAAAAATTGAGGCAAAGGGTTAACCCACAATAAACACCTATAGTTGGAAAGTTAGGTACCCCAGCTATCACCTAATTTCGCCTGCTCCTTCTCGAATTATGATACCCAAATGGAAATGCTTATTGTGTGGACATCTTGTGTCTGATTTTGTGTTATGAGGCCTCATTTGAAAGGTAACACCTTCTAGTTTCTGAAAATGTATGTTACAGTTTGTTAGGAAGGACACAGTCTGCACTACAGCTTCTCAAACATGAGTCAAAGTTAGTTTTTTTTGTCTCAAAACAAAAAAGGCAATTTCAAAAGGTTCTTCTGAAGACATACTTTATGGTATGATGTTCAAACTCACCAGAGCAGATGTTCGTGGTGTTGGAAACACCTGTATGAAATTTTAGACCTTTAGGTGGAACTATTTTGATGCTGGGGGCTTTTTTGTAACTAATGGGCACATTCGGCACAAGTGGTCCATTTTCAGTGATGGGAATAACGGCGTTACTAGTAACGGCGTTACTAACGCCGTTACTTTTTTCAGTAACGAGTAATCTAACTAATTACTTTGACTGTAACTATAACGCCGTTATCATTTCCGACATCCCGTTACTGCGCGTTACTAAAGACGCACAATGAACTTCTCTTTTTACTTCGTGATAGGACTCGTGCGCGTGTTGTCATGAGAGAAGGGAGGATGAGAAAACCTCTCAGCAATTATTGGCTGATGTAAAACATATTTCCTTTACAATCCACATGTCTACAGTTGAGAGGATGGTCATAAATTGTGTTTTTGAAACAAATATGGGTCTTAGTCGCGCTCAACCACAGCTTGTATCACCGTGAGGGCTCAGAGGAGCGCATGTGAGTGCAGAAGTCGGTTGCATACAATTCCAACAGAAAGCTCCTTTCTCTTACTGGTTTATCTGCTAAGGGCTGCAACAAGTTTGGCTAACATACATATAACACATTTTAAGATAATTTAAAATGCACTTACGGTATTTTTTCAATTACTATAGGAATGATAAGAAAGAGAGGTGAAGTGTAAGACGGTTGATTTTAGAAATTGGATGCACCCGGCTGCACCTAGCAAAACAGAGTAGTTTACGGAGGACACACGCGTTTTGTTTTACTTTTTAAAACTAATTTCCAAATGGAGGATTACATATCTACGCTCAAACTATTATCTGGACTTAAACACAGAACTGGTCTGAACTGAAGTGGTCTGTGCAGGTCATTTATAAGGTAAGACCCATAACGTTGCGTTTTGTATGAACAAACAATGCGGCCATGAAACATATTTTGCTGTAGCCAAACAAATTGTCCACTTGATTTATATGATAAATATGTTCATCTGATTGGGCTGAAGTCAGTGCTTCACCGGTGTTTCCACATTCACAGTGGCGGGTGTTTGTGTTTAGTGCTTACAGCACAGAGAGAGATGAAGAGTGAACAGGACTTCAGCAGCAAAACAGACTTTTCTAGATGGAAATATTGGCACTGTTTAAACTCACTGATGTTAAAGGTCAACATGTGCACGTCGAGTGCACATTATGTTCCAGAACAAAACGAAAAAGTAACGCAATAGTTACTTTTACTGGTAACTAGTTACTTTTATAGTGGAGTAACTCCGTTAGTAACTCAGTTACTTTTTGGGAGAAGTAACTAGTAACTATAACTAATTACTTTTTCAAAGTAACGTGCCCCACACTGTCCATTTTTGTGCCAACTGTGCAAAAGTGTTTTACATGCAAATTATCAATGTTTTTACACCAAAAATCCATTTATATATTTTTTTGGCTATTACTCTTGCTATAAATAGCATTTTTTCCAGATATTGAAATGTTTGCAGAAAAGCTATTATTTATATAGTTATAGCGCGTGTTCTCCGTGAAAAAGGCTCCGTCTTCCTCTTTACGCATTCAAATATGACGGGAACAGTGGGAGGAAGCTAGAAGTCCGACACATCGCCTGAAACCTGAGATTATTGGCTACAAGATGATTTGATTGACATCCAAATCGGCCAATGATAGTCAAGACAATGCTGTCATGACGCACAGATATCTATGTGAATGGAGCGCTAAATCTAGGTGCGCTTGTTTTACTCAACTTACTCTACCTTCCAAACCATAGCACTGAAAAGTCCGGGAATGGGCTTGTTTTGAAGGGAAGACTGAGAGGAAGACGAACATACCCAGTGACGCTAGCTAAACAGTAAAATGTCCTCTTCATACAGTGCGCAAAGAACAGGTTTTGTTTTTGTTTGTGCAACTTTCAATACTCAAATATGTTGTTGCAAGTGGATATCTACTATAAGGATGACTTTGAAGAAAAAACAACTGGATATAATTATTCTCTAGACCGTAACGAACAAAACAAATGCATACATGTGTGGATTAGACGTGATTTGCCCCAGAATATTAGCATGACAAGGTAAGAAACGACAATATATATTTTAAACATATATACAGTTTGACTACTTATTCTTACTTTTGGTTATATTTAATGTTTATTTGAACATAATACGTGTATAGAGGTGGGAATAAGCTTTCAAAAGAGATATAGCTTGACTATATTGACACAAGTGAATTCTAATACTGATGCTGTTAAATGAAAAATAACCGAATCCTCCCTGTACAGGGAGGGTGATCCTTAAGAGGTTAAAGGGTAGAGCTAAGAGCGGCACATAGATGAATATTGAGATTTCAAAATGTACTTTACGTATATGAATATAGCATAATAATAATAATAATATATAATAATAATCTTCCAGACAGAAACAGTTGATGTCTTTAAAGAAACAACATAGAACCAGCTCAACAGTAACTAAACAGTAAGATTGAACAGACCTTTTATATCTCTGTGGATCTTGCGTTCTGAGTGCAGGTACTCCAGCCCCTTCAGGATCTCCCTCAGAATCGTCGCGATGTACGTCTCCTCCAAAGGCCCAGGCCGCAGCTGCGAACACGGCATCACATCACCTCTTTCAACATTTCAGAATCACCATTTTCTGTTGTTAAGTCACTTCACACACAGTCATCTCGAAAGGACTGACGACTCAAGACCAATGTTCAAAGAGATTCAACTACACAGAAAACATTATGACTTAAAACTTACCAAATCTAAAGCAGAACCACCGCCTAAATACTCCATGATAATCCATAATTTTGTTCCCTGGAAAACACAAAAAGAAAAATGTCAGTAACCCACTAAGCAAGCAGACGTTGAATCAACGTAATTTGAACGTCGTTGTCCGACGTAGAATATAGGTCACTGGTGGGTGCAGAATGAAAGTTTTCTCGACGTCGTTTCCCGACGTCACCTCAACCTCCAAATGTTACGTTGATGGCACGTCAATTCAAGGTTTGAATGTGGTACGGAACCGGTCGGGTCTGACGTCCTATCAACGTCTCATATGACCAAAATATTGACGTTTATATGACGTTCGTTTTCAGTCGTTCCCACTAAGCAAGCAGATGTCAAAACTATGTCATTTCAACGTCATCTGGACGTTCATTCAAGGTTGCAATGTGGTACAGAACCGGTCGGGTCCGACGTCCTATCAACGTCTTATATGACCAAAATATTGCCTTCATATGACGTTCGTTTTCCGTTGTTCCCACTAAGCAAGCAGATGTCAAAACTATGTAATTTCAACGTCATCTGGACGTTCAAATGACGTCGCGGCCACTTCCTTCAAGGTTGCAATGTGGTACAGAACCGGTCGGGTCCGACGTCCTCTCGACGTCTTATATGACCAAAATATTGACGTTTATATGACGTCCATTTACAGTCCTATTGACCTACTTAACCTCTGCAGAATCACTCACTGGTCGAGACATACTTTTTGCAATAGGCAAGGCAAGTTTATTTGTATAGCACAGTCAAAACAAAAGGAAACTCAAAGCACTGAACACGTAGATAGAAACAATCAAACAAGGCATTACAATTATAAATATTGACAGTAAATTAAAAAGATACAAATAAAATCTCTCATAAAATCTCTCAGTTGAAGCAGAAACAGAAGTGTTTTAAACCTGGATTTTAACATTGTCAAAGAAGAAGCCTGTCTCACATTTTCAGGAAGACCGTTCCAGATTTTAGCCTTGTGAATCTGAAATGCAGCTATATCATGTTTAGTTCTGACTCTGGGCAATAAACGATAAACACAGCATTCAAAAATCATTAGAACAACTGTAGTAGAAGGATATCAGTCATTAATGCAAATGGAGCTGCATTAAAAATCATGTTTCTCTACATCAAAGTACAAGTTAAAGCACACAGGGCACAGTGTTATGAACACTACTGTACTGAACAGTTCATGCCAAAGTAAAAAAACATGATTGTAGGAAGTCCTACGTGACTTCCTGTATCCGGTGAGCGTGTTTCTTGACTACTATCACTCTGCTCTCTGTTTGCACTAACAAACACATTACAAATCCACGTATTGTACACCAAGCTAACTGTGTAAGCACTCCGAGTCAGCTGTACTGCAGCTGAGGTTTAGGTAGCGGTTGTTTGTCTGGTCTCGGAGTCTGTTGTGCGGGCCCGGATCCGTACTAGCTTAGCCTAGCCTAGCTTAGCCTAGCCTAGCCGCTAACTCGCTACTATGGCGGCTGCTGTCTCTCCCTCAATCCTTTACTGCTCGAGTTGCCATATGGCGAGTCTAAACCCTGGATCCTTCTCTGAGGGTAGTGATAGATGTATGAAGTGTAGTGTAGTCGTAGCTCTGGAATCCAGGGTCAGTGAGTTAGAGCTGCGTCTCCGAGCACTGGAGTCTCGAGCTAGCGCTAGCATTAGCTACAGCCAGGCCGTATCCTCAGGGACAGCGGAGCGCAGCTTTAGGGAAAGGCAGAGGAGAACTAGCGAGCCTAGCCTCCCAGCCCGTCCTCCGCAGCTGGGACAAGACCAGGATAGTGATGGCTTTGTGACTGTTCGGAGAGGGCGACGTGTTGTTGGTAGTTTCCCCATTGGGCCTCCTCCTGTTAGCATTTACAATCGCTGGGACGCTCTGTCCGGCTGCGCCCCCGCGCGGCCGGGCGGGGAAGAAGGCCCCACTGAGAGAGCCGCTGAGAGAGCTGCTGAGAGAGCCGATGGAGTCGCTGATGCGCTGGTAATTGGCTCCTCTATTGTTAGAGGTGTTAAGATCCCAGGAGCCACTGTTCGGTGCTTCCCTGGGGCCAGGCTTGGTGATATTGAAGGGAATCTGAGGCTCATGATGACCCACAAGCAGCGTTTCCGTCGAATTGTTATTCACGCGGGTGGTAATGACGTTCGGCGGAAACAGTCCGAGGTGTTGAAGCTGCAAGTCGCCGCCGTGTGCAAGCTGGCTAGCACAATGGCCGACACTGTCATCTTCTCTGGGCCCCTACCTAGCACTAGCAGTGCAGAAGCATTCAGCAGACACTCGGCTTTCAACCGCTGGCTGTCTGGCTGGTGCCCTCGAAGTGGTGTTGTTCATGTTGACAATTGGAGTGCCTTTTGGGGAAAGCCCGGTCTCATCCGCTCGGATGATATCCACCCAACGTTGGCGGGTACATCCCTTTTGGCTAAGAATTTGGCCCTGGCTCTAAACTGTTCTGCTCGGCTCAAATGACGATGCAGAACTGAGGCCCGGGTGCAGAGCTGCTCTGCCACAACCTCTGAGCCCCCATCTGTTCAGTTACTAGCCTCAGAGGCTAGTCAGATTGAAACTGTGTGTGCATGTGTGTGTGTGCCTGTGTGTGCTCAGTTACTAGCCTCAGAACCTAGTCAGATTGAAACTGTGTGTGTTCCCCGCTTGAAGTCTAAAGCACTATATGCGAGGAAATCTGACCTAGGTGTCAGACACAGTAACTTAATAAAAGTTCAGACAGACAGAAATAGTTCTAGCGGTAGGGTTGTTAAATGTGGTTTAATGAACGTCAGATCAATCTCGTCTAAATCGCTTCTCATAAACGAACTTATTATAGACAAGGGCTTGGATCTGTTTGCGCTCTCGGAGACTTGGCTCCAACAGGACGACTACGTCAGATTGAATGAGTGCACTCCTCCGACGCATGTTAACTACCAGAAAGCCAGAGCTACAGGTCGCGGCGGTGGTGTTGCGATTATATCACACACCAACTTGGTTCTTAGTCCCAAAACCAACAACGCTTTTCACTCGTTTGAAAACTTAACACTTTCAATCACCTGTCCTGGGTGGAGAAAACAAAAAGCAGTACTATTTATAGTTTTATACCGACCTCCTGGTCCTTACAGCGAGTTCCTAACAGAATTCTCTGACTTCATTTCAAACCTAGTTTTGGAATGGGAAAACATAGTTATAGCTGGAGACTTCAATATACATGTGGACGACAGCACTGACAGCTTAAACAAAGCTTTCAGCGCCGTACTAGATGGTGTTGGTTTTACTCAGAATGTCGAGGAACCTACTCACATTCATAACCACACCTTGGACCTTGTCCTGACCTACGGCTGTGATGTCTCCAATGTTGACATCCAGCGTCAAAGCTCGTTGCTGTCTGACCATTTCTTGATCACGTTTGATCTCGCTTTGGAGGACTTTCCTGTCCCGCAAGATAAAACCATAATGAAAAGAACCTTAAATGATAAATCTATCACAAGGTTCAAAGAACTAATACAGCCTATGTTGAATACTGCTGCAGGTGAACCTGTTCACAGCAGCTGCAGTCCCTCAGTCATTGACCAAACGGTGGGCAACACTATGGAGTCTTTAAAATCTGCATTAAATGCAGCAGCTCCTTTAAAACAGAAAACCATTAGGATTAGATCATCGTCGCCCTGGTACAGTGTTCAACTCCACACTTTAAAACAGGACGTCAGAAAATTGGAGAGGCTATATCGCCACTCCCACTCGGAGCCTGTCCACAGGGAGTGGAAAGCAGGTCTCCGAAACTACAAGAAGGCCCTTCGCGGGGCTCGAACTCAATACTATTCAACTTTAATAGAAGCGAATAAAAACAACAGTAGATTTTTGTTTGGTACCGTCGCTAAACTCACAAACTGCCATAGCGCAATCGAGCCTAAAATTCCAAGCTCACTGAGCAGTGTCGACTTTCTCCACTTCTTTAATAATAAAATTACATCCATCCGTGACAAGCTGGAGGAGGTTGCTCCTGCTGTTAGTGGTGGACAGGTTGAAGCGGCATACGTGACTTCCCACTTAGACTCTTCAGTGGGCCTTAATAAATTCATGGCTGTGAGCCAAGCAGAGGTGATCTCTGTGGTCACATCCTCAAAAGCCTCAACTTGCATGTTAGACGCAGTCCCGACATGGCTCTTCAAAGACATACTTCCTTTGATAATTGAGCCTATCGTAAATATAATAAACGCATCCATACAATGTGGCTATGTCCCACAAGCTTTTAAAACCGCGGTAATCAAACCCCTTCTGAAGAAAACAAACCTGGACCCAGAGATACTTACAAACTACAGACCGATCTCAAACCTCACTTTTATATCTAAAATCCTGGAAAAACTTATAGCTGAGCAGCTCCGCTGCCACCTGCAGGAAAATGATATGTTTGAAGTCTTTCAATCAGGATTCAGAGCTCATCATAGCACTGAAACGGCACTAGTCAAAGTCACAAATGACTTACTACTAGCTGCCGATAATGGACAAGTGTCAGTGCTGGTCCTACTGGACCTTAGTGCTGCATTTGACACAATAGACCACAGCATTCTACTGCAGAGGCTAGAATGTGATATAGGTCTTAGAGGAACAGCCCTTGGCTGGTTTAAATCCTATTTATCAGATCGATATCACTTCGTCAATGTGAATCAGGACTCGTCGCCTTATTCTGGAGTGGAATTCGGTGTGCCGCAGGGTTCGGTACTCGGACCGATTCTTTTTACTCTCTACATGCTGCCACTGGGAAACATTATTAAAAAGCATGGAATTAATTTCCACTGCTATGCAGATGACACACAGCTTTATCTGTCGATGAAGCCTAATCAGACAGATCAGCTAGAAAAGCTCAGTGCCTGCATAAAGGACCTTAAAATGTGGATGACTCTTAACTTCCTACTTCTCAACCCGGAGAAGACAGAAGTGATCCTACTCGGTCCGAAGCGCCTGCGTGACTCCCTCACTAACCAGATGGTTACTCTCGATAATGTCAGTATAATACCCAGTAACACTGTGAGGAATCTTGGAGTCATTTTTGACCAAG